ACTTTAAAAGGAAAATGACATCTAAAAAGTAGGAATCCAAGATCTTACCATCCAAAGTTGAAATTGCAGGTTTTTGAAAAGAAGCAACAAAAAGAAAATGGGATGAGAAAAGAAGGAATCCACGATCTTACCATTCAAAGTTCAGTCTTGCAGGTTTTTGAAAAGAAAGCTGCGAAAGGAAAAGGAGATGAGAAAAGTATAGAAAAGTAGGAATCCAAGATCGAGCATCCAAAGTTCATTCTCGCAACTGTTTGAAAAGGAAACTTGGAAGGAAAATGGAAGGAAACAAATTGGAATGCACGATCTTACCATCCAAAGTTCATAATTGAAGGTTTTTGAATGGAAAACTGTGACAGGAAAAGGACATGAGAAAAGCAGGAATCAAACTTTGAAAGGAACATGGCATGAGAAAAGCTGGAATCCACGATCTTACCATCCAAAGTTCACAATTACAGATTTTTGAAGGGAACAGTGTGAAAGGAAAAGGAAATGAGAAAAGTAGGAATCTACGTCTACGATCTTACCATCCAAAGTTAATTTTTTGCAGCTGTTTGAAAAGGAAAATTTGAAAAAAATAAATAAATTGGAAGGTTTTGAAAAGGAAAGGAAAAAAAAACACATTTTGAGCATCCTGGAGTAGATTTTGGAATATTCTATCTAGGGGGTCCGAATATATAGTTTAGTATTGGGTCAAAAAACCCAGGGTTTTTTCAAAAAAAAAACGCCCCCTACGAAACTGGATTCTATCTACTCCAGGATTATTATATATATACATATTATATATAAATACAATTAAATACATACATATATATTTATATATAGCGGCGGACCGAAACTTAGAATGCCTCGCAGTTTTCCAATTTTTTTACCCAGAAGATAGAACCTTACTCATTTCGGGGGGGTTGGGAGTAACTTAGAATGACTCGCAAGGATTTTTGTAATATTTAGAAAGAGTGGTTCTAAGTTTCAGTCCGTCAACACCAAAACTACTCAATTTTCCCCATTTTTTGATTTGCACGAGTTTGAGAAAAACATGTCAACACCAAAAGTTTGAGAAAAAAACATGTCAACAACACCAAAACTAATCAATTTTCCCCATTTTTTGGACTCCCAGGAGTTTGAGAAAAACATGTCAACACCAAAACTAGTAATTTTTCCATTTTTTGGATTCCAGGAGTTTGAGAAAAAACATGTCATCACCAAAATTAGGCAATTTTCCCATTTTTTAGATTCCAGGAGTTGAGAAATATATATATATATGTATATATGCATGTCCGTTCAAACCCTTTTGAAAGAAGACATTGTTTTTAGGGGCAACTTTACATTTCCATATCTTACCCTCTATTCTGGTATATGCGGATGGTTCTAAGTTTCAGTCTGTCAACACCAAAACTAGGCAATTTTCCCCATTTTTTGACTTGCACGAGTTTGAGAAAAACATGTCAACACCAAAAGTTTGAGAAAAAAACATGTCAACACCAAAACTAATCAATTTTCCCCATTTTTTGGACTCCAGGAGTTTGAGAAAAACATGTCAACACCAAAACTAATCAATTTTCCCCATGTTTTGGACTCCAGGAGTTTGAGAAAAAACATGTCAACACCAAAATTAGGCAATTTTCCCATTTTTTGGATTCCAGGAGTTGAGAAATATATATATATATATTATATATATATATGTATATATGCATGTCTGTTCAAACCCTTTTGAAAGAAGACATTGTTTTTAGGGGCAACTTTACATTTCCATATCTTACCCTCTATTCTGGTATATGCGGATGGTTCTAAGTTTCAGTCCGTCAACACCAAAACTACTCAATTTTCCCCATTTTTTGACTTGCACGAGTTTGAGAAAAACATGTCAACACCAAAAGTGTGAGAAAAAAACATGTCAACACCAAAACTAATCAATTTTCCCCATTTTTTGGACTCCAGGAGTTTGAGAAAAACATGTCAACACCAAAACTAGTAATTTTTCCATTTTTTGGATTCCAGGAGTTTGAGAAAAAACATGTCAACACCAAAATTAGGCAATTTTCCCATTTTTTTAGATTCCAGGAGTTGAGAAATATATGTGTATATATATATATATGTATATATGCATGTCCGTTCAAACCCTTTTGAAAGAAGACATTGTTTTTAGGGGCAACTTTACATTTCCATATCTTACCCTCTATTCTGGTATATGCGGATGGTTCTAAGTTTCAGTCCGTCAACACCAAAACTAGTCAATTTTCCCCATTTTTTGACTTGCACGAGTTTGAGAAAAACATGTCAACACCAAAAGTTTGAGAAAAAACCATGTCAACACCAAAACTAATCAATTTTCCCCATTTTTTGGACTCCAGGAGTTTGAGAAAAACATGTCAACACCAAAACTAGTAATTTTTCCATTTTTTGGATTCCAGGAGTTTGAGAAAAAACATGTCATCACCAAAATTAGGCAATTTTCCCATTTTTTTAGATTCCAGGAGTTGAGAAATATGTGTATATATATATGCATGTCCGTTCAAACCCTTTTGAAAGAAGACATTGTTTTTAGGGGCAACTTTACATGTCCATATCTTACCCTCTATTCTGGTATATGCGGATGGTTCTAAGTTTCAGTCCGTCAACACCAAAACTAGTCAATTTTTTGACTTGCACGAGTTTGAGAAAAATATGTCAACACCAAAAGTTTGAGAAAAAAACATGTCAACACCAAAACTAATCAATTTTCCCCATTTTTTGGACTCCAGGAGTTTGAGAAAAACATGTCAACACCAAAACTAGTAATTTTTCCATTTTTTGGATTCCAGGAGGTTGAGAAAAAACATGTCAACACCAAAACTAAAACTAGTCAATTTTTCCATTTTTTGGATTCCAGGAGGTTGAGAAAAAACATGTCAACACCAAAACTAGTCAATTTTCCCATTTTTTGGATTCCAGGAGTTGAGAAATATATATATATATAATTATATATAGATATGTATGTATATATATATATACATGTATATATATATGTATGTGTATATATATATGTATGTTTATTACATGTATAGTTGCTCCCAAACCCCCGTTCTGTCTTCTGGTTAAACAAATTGGAAAACTGCGAGGCATTCTAAGTTCCCGTCGGACTATATATATATATATATATATATAAATTATGATATGTATGTAGGTGCAAATGATTTGCAATAATTTCTAACATTTTATGGGTAGTTCAATTGCCAATGGGATTTCATTTAGCTCCTAAAACGCCAATGATATGCGGGTGGTTCTAAGTTTTAGTCCGTCAACCCCCATATTTCCAAATGCACCTTACATGTATATATGTATATATATATATAAAGATTCAGTTTTATTTCTTATAAAATTCCAAACAGTTCCCCAAAATTATAATGGGATTCAACCACCTGAATTTGTTGAAATGCAGTTGAACGGTCCAAAAAAAGCGGGACCAAACAAGAATTTCTGAATCAGACCTAACCCTTGCAATTGCTGTCTGCAATTTGCACGCATGTTTGACCTTGTCATGCCTTCATCCACCTTTCTGACTGTGCAAATAGAAATGGCAAGGGGCGGTTGCGAGTTTGGCAACGCTTTCTGACAACAAACAAGCACATTCATGTAGCAAACCATGGCAAACCCAAGAATAAACCTATCATTTGGGGATGCTTTATACAGTGACATGTACCACCCATTTATGATGATTTTAGGTAGAATATTTCGTTCAATCCATCAAACAACATCATATTACTTAGCTAGTTTTACGGGTACTTTTCAGGTAAAAAACTGCGAGAGGGTAGTCATTTTTGGCTCTCGGCGAGCCATTTTTGGTAGTGGTTCTAAGTTCTGATTACGGTGAACAGTTTCGCAAAACGTAAAAATATCATAAATTTTATCAATTTTACCCAAATCTGAGCGGGTAGTTCCGGGTACTTTTTCGGGGTATGGCAAATTTCCAAAATCAGGTTCTAAGTTCCAGCCCGCCGCTATATTTATTTATATTACACATAGAAATATACATAAATATATACATATAGCGAGCGAGAGAGAGAGAGAGAGAGAGCTTTAGCCCCAAAAAATCTCCCATTTGGGGATGGTTGAGTTGAAATCCCACCGACCGTCCCTAGGGGGGAATGATGAAGGGCTGATGGTTCGGAAGGGTCACTGGAATGATGTTTATTAAGGATAGGTATAGCATATATCATATATATATACACGTATGTAATGATATTATATACATATATATATATATGTAATGATATGTATATGTATATGTATGTATGTATATATATATTCAAAACATAGGTTTTTCCAGCTCAACGGGAGTGGACGAAAGAAACGGGATGATTTTGTTGATTATCGATGGCTCTAAATACTAGGTTTTTAAACCAGTTATGCGGGCTTATCATGTCTTATATGGGTGTCCAGCTTCTTATTAAGCGAGGTATACTGTAATTGCTCAGGGAAAAATATTACCATAATTCATCACCTCTGGAAAAAAAACAGTAGAAACTTAAGATTATGATTTGTGACACCAGGGGGATGGATTTATCCTGATCTATTTTGAGGATGTTTCCACTTTGCAGATGACTATTTTGAGCCGTGCGGCTGAGAAGCATTGAGAAGCCACATACGAGTGTTATCCCATTGTTCAAGCGATACCATCCCATTGATTATCTAATCGCACCTGAACAGCATCCTAAAATGAACATATCCGCTACCATTTTTTGTGGGGTAGCAAGTGCCCCTCCTGCACATTTAAACACATGAGCCAGGGTGTGTAAATCTATGTTGACAGCTTGACATTGCTTTTAGAGTTGGATTTGCGGAAGAAACACATTTGGAAACCAGTGCATTTTGAAACGCAAAATCAATGCCCAAATATCATTCCTTCAATGAATCCACAGAAGAAACACGTCTTTTTCAAGTTCTGTTTTCCCTGGGTACTTTGGAAGGTTGAAGCATGTTAAACCCATGGTTTCCAACACCGGCACGAGTTTGACTGACGAGAGGAGATCACAGCGACTGGAAAAAACGTCAGCACGGGCGCTCCATGCGTGGAACACAGTTCACTGGCGCAAGCTTTGCTACGGGTGGAGCACGATACTTGGTGGTGAATTGGTGTTAAATCATTGTTAATGATGAAGATAGTTCATGGAATGGGGATGGAAGTGATGGAGTGGTTAACGATTGGGATATGACTCATATGACCAACAACAATTATGGATGAATAAATATGACTGATTGGTGGTTTGGAACATTTTTTATTTTCCCCAATAGCTGGGATGATGATCCAATCTGACTAATATTTTTCAGAGGAGTTGAAACCACCAACCAGATGAATAATGGAGAGAAGCATTTGGTGCTGGATGATCGCAATGAAATAAGAGACGCTGATCCATTTGAACCGACAGCATCGTTTGTGCGGTATTGGTGCAATATCCATCTCCCAGTTGTGGACATCACACATTCACAGTCATCTGCACAATCCTAACTTCAGTTGAATCAGGCAAATTGCAATGCAAACATGGAATGTAAATGTAGGAATTCCAGAAATGGATCATGAAAAAGCATAGCTTTAGATTTATCATCCGAGCATTTGTGTTGGTTGTAAACATATATAGTTACATATATAATATATCTATAACTATGTAAGATTATAATAATATATATATATACATATATACATACATATATATATATATATGTACATATATATATATATATTTGAGTGTCGTCCAAGTTTGGTCGAATCTCCATTCTTGAGTGTCCTTTATTTTCCTTGTTCCGTGGCGAATTCCCTGCTAGGATTGTCTCTTCATCGTGGATGTCTCGGAGATCGCGCAGCCGCAGGACTGGCAAGATGAAATGCTACGCCCTGGCCGCGCACGGCGGATGTTGGAACGCTGGTTTGCCAAGTTCAACTGCAAGGAGAAAGGGGGGACGATTGGCATTGAAGTTGAGCGACCCAAAAAAGGGGTAAATGTAAACACCACCTTCAACGGGGGACATAGAAGGATGTGTTCAATAAGTCTAGCAAGATTGGGATGATTAGGTTGCATCCTGCCTTGCCGATTTCACTGCGATGCGTTTTTGTGCAGCTTAAATCTTATGTACTGGGTGAAAGCAGATGTGTCATTTGGTCTAAATTCCTTATCACAAATTTTGGATCAGAAGTACAACATCTAAATTGGCATTTAGGTTTGCTGGTTTTACATCTCATACATTGTAGACACACCTCCGAATGTCCGTTACACCATGACCAGTAGACTCAAGGAACATAGATATAGACAATTCATGGTAAATGAGGTATGGTTATATATCTCACATATATATATATATATATATGGTTTATGATACTATATGGTTATGTATGGTTATAGGTTATATCTCATATATATATATATATATATCCCATGGAAATATCGAGATTTCCCCAGTTAATTAGCCCTTTCCTGGCCTAGGAGGCCACGGTAATTGCCTTCGCCCAAGATGCGGTGGCCCGGCTTGATGATGTTGGCATCTTTGATCCATTTCCTCATGATGTTGGGAAAACATGGGAAAACTGTGGGAATTTTGGGGAATTGCCTATTTCAACTTGGGAATTGTTGTAGATAAACATAGATAAACTGTATTTTTGTTTGGGGGGAAAACTTGGGCGTCCCGAGCTCGTTTCTCGATACGACAGAGGTGGAGATGAAACTTTGAAATGAGGCGTTGAAGCAGCAAACATGTCCCGGTATTGTGGTAAGAACGGTACTTCATGACCGCTGATCTCAACAATAGGACAATGACTGCAATTGTGCAGCACTGCTCTTGTCTCCGTGGAAATTGCTGAGCAAGTACCTCTGTGTTTGTGAACCAGCATGATTGGTGACATTACCGGGTTTCTTGTTGAAATGTTCATTGGTTTTCTCGGTTTTCAGCACATATTTTTGGAGAGAAACATCTAGTTCCCGTGCCACAAACAGACCCGTCCAAGACGCTTTGGGCGCCCCTGGCCAACTTGCACGGCGAACAGAGGAGAACTGGGTGCTTGAAGCGTTGATGGATGTTGATGGAGTGGGATAATGTAAATCCCCTGAGAGTGATGGGATCACACATCAATTCAAGGAACGTGGGGGGTGTTGGGAGCAGCCCTGAAAAAGGATGAGCGTCTGGGTATATCATCCCCAAAAAGTAAACATGATCAATGGATAAAGGAATGGATTGATTCATGGATAACTCTCGGGTTTAATCATATATATATATATCATATCTGTTATATATATATATCATATGTTAATGATTGTTCATTGATCTATTTAGAATCATCATTTCATTGAACCATATTGATTTATTCAGAGTTAGAATGTTTTGTCAGGATGGATGGCTCTCCAATCATGGAGAACTCTACAGGGTAGGCAGGGTAGGGCCCCATAATTAGCTGGGTTACTGGGTTGGTTTCCAACTCCAATAACTAGGCTTTCTGAGGGATATAACATGATATAACATGTTTTTTACATGATATAACATGATATAACTATAGTTGAATGGGATCATAAACAAACATAGAACTCGGGGCACCCTATAAGATTCATGATCACCAGTGCCATGCTGGACCCGCAGGATCTCTCGCGTGGTGGCGCCCACAGCTGTGCCTTTTGGCGCTCAAACGGAGTTGGAGAAAGCGCAGGTCGGAAAATCCGATCCAGAAATGGATCTGGGGGTACCCCTATCATACTATTTTGGGAAACCTCCAACTTGGTGATAGTTTTGATAGTAATGGGATATTAAATGATATTAATGAGGTATATAGAGGCGATGTGATAGTATAGAACAAGATAGTTAGTTTTGTCAAGTTTAGCGGGCAGGAACATCTTGATCAACCATCACTGGTTTTATCGACATCTTGATTTACCATCACTGGTAATATGGTTTATGCGGTCACCAGGATATATCAACCAAAAAGAATTGTGGGACACTAGTAATATGCTACGCTCTGCAGTATACAAAGTCATGAACAACTTTGTCCATGCACTAAGCTGTTATTGTTGTACCGAGTTTCATTGGTCAGTGTATTGCAACGCAAGTGTTTTATCAATTTGTATTATATTATATTTTCTATATATATAATATATAATATATATATAATTATATATATAATATATAATATAATATATATATATATGTATATTATATATTATACAATATGTCATATAATATAAAAATCCTGCATGAACAACTTAAGCAGCCGGTTTTGCAGGACGGGAGAGTTCGGAAATTGGAACTACTATATGCAGGGCTGGGAAGTTGCGCAGCTTAACCAACCACATATGGGATGTTTGAGCAATGAACATGGAGAGAATACAGCAAGAATAGCTGATATTTTGGAAAAGCCGTTAGTGAAGTGTACAGTCTCACATGTGATTTATTGGTGTTTTCTGGTCCAGAGGTTATCTTTGTTTTATGTTTGAGTGAATGTAGTGGGCATTGTCATCAAGGAACTAAGGAACCTACCTGGGTACTTGTGAAAATCCGGTTTATTCCCTTTTCGCTGCGATTGATTGCTGGCCAAAATTGGTGGTCCAAAAAGCACTGTTGCACTGAAGCAGCTGATAGTGTTCAGGTCTATCCAATATATATATATATATATACGTATATATATATATAATTGTATATATAATTATGCGTATATATATATATATATTGCGATTGGATCACCCATCATATGCATCCTGAAGGTTTTTCAGGGTACATAGAATTCATTACCCTCCAGTACTCACATGGTTTGATGCCCGAGCTGAAGGTGGAGACACTGCAAGTGGACTTCCAAGATGGTTGGCATGATGTAGTACCCTGGTGATGAGGGTGACAGATCATCATGCCAACCATGACAACCATCTTTGAAGTGAACAATAAATTTATTGTCATGTAGATGTTGACACAAAGTGGTGTTGTTGATTGTTGGTTGTGTGCCTAGAAAACACCTTTGGAGGCTTGGTTTGGGTATGTTTGGGTGCTCGATCTTGGGTTTTGGGGTCTACTTCTGAGCCATCCGATCTGACTATAGTTCTGTGAGAACTATGCCCGACAGCCGATGGAAAAGGCTCAGGTTGTTGACATCTCTTTTTGTTCGGTGATGATATGCAAAAAAATACCAGTTTTCCATAGATGTCAAATGTTGGGTCATATTACCAGCGATCATTCTGAACCACAAAACAGATGAGTTTCCGGAGATCATTTTGTAACGCTCAGGTGCGAGCTGCGACGGGTGAAGATGTTTCCGATCTTCCCTTCGAGGATTTGTAGCTTCAGCAGTTCCGAGGTGGATTTGTTTGATCCAGTTGGGATGATTTTTGTCCAACAAATAGGAGTTTCATGATGTAGAGATCATGATAAGATAGGATCGATATTAACATCTTTTTTTTGATGTTTGTTTCCAGGTCTGTGAAACATTGTGAAACTGGGTACCCGGTGTAAAAGGTGTAGCCTCTGGACATTTGATGAAAATTGTTACAGTTCGCTATTGAACATGGTGATTTATACTTGATTTACCCATTAAAAATGGTGATTTTCCATAGCTGAAATAGGGAGGATCAACCACTGGATCCGACGGCGGAAGTGCTGTGCGCAAACGGGACGTTTGCAGATGTATCATATGTATAATTATGATATCATTATGTATATATATATATAAGCATATATATATATACAATGTGATGTAATATGATATCATGATGCCACATTATTATAGTCTGTGATACTTTTATATTTATAGAACCCCAAGGCACCAAACCCAATTTAAAATGATCCTACGGGTAGTCATCGTTCTGAAGGATCAGAAACAAAAAACCTTCAGAGAATCTGCCAATGTGTAGATGATATATCCAGATTTTCAGAATGATGATTGCCCAAAATGTCATCTCTATTCAAAACATGCTTCTGTGCCGCGGACAGCCGTGACACGTTGAGGTATTTTACTGCTGTGGATTTCGATGTGCACCGGAGGAGCAAACAACTTGTAACTTGGAAGACATGCAGTGTGGAAGCTGATATGTGTCCTATCACAAATGGTGGTTCAGTTCTTGTGAAGGGAAACTTTGTTTCAATTTGTTTCATACGTTTATTGGTCCTTATGGATACACGGAGTCTTGGGAATTGTTGCTGTGCACATCTGAACGATAGCGACCTTGGACGTCCAAAGTGTGTGTCCACGGTGTATTACAGCAACAAAAAGAAAGAAGAACATGTGAAACATGCTCAGACCCAGATGTATGTTACGATGTTAACTATTCTTTGCTACATCTTGGGGAATGCCAGCCAGCTTTACTATCGGTTTTGCTAAGCTGCTAGGTATCTAAGATTCCAGCCATCACTGGGCGGAGAAACCAAGTGAAGCCCCAGGTGATACCGGGTAATCCGGCTAAGCCCAGGTATGCCGCAGCTGTATCTTGTATCAAGAATTATAACCATGCTATGTGTAATAATATATATAATTATATAATATATATAAACATATATGTGCTATCCAATGCTATCCAACTGATACAACTGGAATATCTGGGGGAATGATAGGTGTAGTTGAGGCCAATGGTAGGTAACCGTTCGCATCCTCGGCGAGCATGGTAGCTTCATGCTGGCAGTTTGAACAGATAACTCCGAAAGAGCCAGCATGATCTATGGACTACCCTCTGGTAAACCTACAAAAAGCTATGGAAAATCAGCATTTTCAATGGGAAAATCCACTATTTCGACTGGGCCATGTTCAAGAGCTATGTTAAATAACCAGAGGGTAAACTCCAAGTCTTGCGGTTTTGTAAATTCAATGCCATCGTAATGTCAGGATCTGTATGGATCTGTATAATGTGATAGACCAACAAAATAAACCACCGCTGTTTCCGATGGTGCATACCAACCATTTTCAATTGATACCAAATGGTTAGATACAGTTCATTCAAGTGTGCCTAGGTCTTTACCAACAATTTCTGGCTAAATTGGGACTGGTTTCTGCATCTGTATGAAGTTGGGCAAATACCACATCGTTCTTTTTCTGGTGGATGGAACGATCATTTCCGGATGCTTATGAACATGTTTATGAGATGTTGTGAGCATGTTTCTGGATTTTTTGTGTCTACCTTTGAAGAAATGGGGAGAAGAAAACGCGCCAAGTTGCGCCACGTTGCGCCAAGGTCCAAAATGCTCACAACATCTCCAGCTTCATCGCGGACTTGGCCGCCAGTAGCCTCCAGCCTGGCCCCGTGGACGTCAGCACAGACATGGCACCAGCGCAGCCAGTGCTGGTGCCGGGCGAAGTGCTGGCGATGCTGCGGGAAGCCTGGGAGGCGAAGGGTATTGGCCGCAGAATATGAAAGTAATTACATTCACTAGCAACAATGGATTCATATGCATATACAATTATACATGTAATTATATATATATATATATTATACGTGTATATATATTTATATATATACACAACACCAGGACAACAGTTTTTCCGCTTGACTAGCTGCTGCAACCCTCTCCCCTTAGACTCCTGACAGGTTTCATATGAATCACATGGCGGATCGCGGATCAGCTGGTTTGCTTTTTAAACAGTTTTAATTTATTCCGGCTTGAAATGCGATCCGCCACGCAGGCCACGCGAAATGAGGATAATTGATCCGCGACTGAGGATCAATATATTTATAAGACCCTAGACGGGAAAAACTGTCTTCTTCCTGATATATGTGGATATGGATGGATATGGGATCTTTGCACCAGATACTCCCATGTCTGTTTCACATGGCCACCTTAAGGGAGCAGCGACAGGTGAAGTCTCTGGTGAGTTCTGCCACAGCGCTGACCACGCACTGCTTGATACCTGGAATGACCTTCACTGCTCTCACGGTGGCGTGGCCAGGTGAGTTGAACGGTGAGATGTTGGATCTGTTGATGTTGGATGAAGTTTAAGCTGTTCTTGGCCTGCTTTCACTGCTTTCCTCTTCAACAGGGTCACCCAAATCCTCTTCTGATCCAGGAACTCTAGGGTGACAAATATGATCCACTCACAGGGAGATTGGTTGTGTTACCCTTGCTTTGCTAAGTGATGGACATCCAGAATCGTTCTTAATGGATGGCACACGTATTTGGCATGCCCAGAGGGCGAAAGTAACCTGCTGTAGGGCCAATCTACCCAGGAGTTCACCAAGAGAAGTACGTGGTTTATATAGTTTTATAAATACACCTTTTCCAAAATTAATGGTTACTTTAGTGAGCCAGGAGCTCTCCCAACAGCCAAGTGTTTACTTCGGAAGGGATCTTCTTCCAATTCTACCCTACTTGTTTTTGTTTTTGTTGACACGGTATGAATATGTATCCCCGGTGTTTGTTCACTTCAAAGCCAGTTTCTGATATTAGCCAGCCCATGGTGTACTTACCTTCATAATGGCATGTGTATATGGAGGTTTCCTGAAATAGGGATAGCCCTAAATCATCCTTTTTTTATAGATGGATTTTCCCTTATAAACCATGCATTTTTGGGTATCCCCTTGTATGGAAAGCCCTATATTTTTATATTAATGATGTCTTTCCAACCCCCCTGGCTGAGATAAGGTCAAGGTTTTGAGTGTGCAAAGCGATGAGGAGGCGAGTGTTCCCTTTGTGTGGAAAGATTCCTAATGATCATTCATGATCAATAGATAGATGTATTTAAATTTGTATTTATAATAGCTATAGATGTATATCATAATAACATGTATATCAATGTATATGTATTTATATAGTTATGTAACATAGTTACCCCAAACAAGTTTCAGAAAAAATCTCCTCTGTTTGGATTTACTAAACACTGTTCTATGTTGTTGTATCTTTTTGGGGCGCTGAGGTGTCGAGATTCATTTCTTTATAGGAACTGGTTACATGATGATCACAACCATTCCAAATCAATACCGTCCACATTGCAAGCATATAATGGTTACACTTGAAACTTATAGATGTGATGTAGCATGAGGCCCAATTTGCTGCCTGCCGGTCGGAACTGACCCACATTAGGTAAAGCTTCCCCTATAGGAGAAGCCGGAAAAGGGGCACACTTCAGTATCCACTGAAGAACCACTTTTGCAATGGCATCAGTTGTTGATGTCCCAATCTTGCGGTAATTTTGCGGACGGAGAGGGATCACTTTTGCCAGGAACATGATTCCATGTTCATTGCCGCAGATGTTCCCATATGAGCTATGGTCAATACTCATGGTTAATAACCATTAATAGGGGCTAGTCATCCAATGGTTCATAGGGATTTATACTAACCATTATAAGGATCCTTATTATGGATGGGATGACCATCAACCATATAGTGAGTATTGACCATGGCTCATATGTTTCACCAATTTTACTGTTTCACCTTAAGCTGTTGGTGAAAGATCCCTCAATGCTTCACCGAAGGTCCTGAGAGCCACCTGCGCGGATTGTCACTGGGTTTCGCATGTCGGGAATCATCCGCAGTGGAAAGGCCGAACTTTTGGGGTTGGTGAGTCAAAATCCAGATTCAGATGTGACGTTGGTTTACATTGATATGACTATAATATATATATATATATTATTATTATTATTATTGTTGTTCGTACTGTATTTATTTATTTATCTATTTATTTATTTAATGTTATTGATTTATTATTTATTTATGATTTATTATATGTTTTGTTGATTTCTTATTGTTTATTTGGTTTTTATATATGTTGTTATTATAATTTTTAATTTTATGATTTATTTATTATTTGTTTTTATATGTGTTTATTATTATGATTATTATCAGTATGATTATTATATATCCTTTGTGCGCGCATATACATATATATATATATATATTACCCATAGGATCCATGTATGCTATATATGGTAACATTTACCATCAGTATACCCCAAATGTTAGCATAGATACCATACATGGATCCTATGGGTTATATGCATTAATACATGTGTTTGTATCGAATTTTATATCTGTAGATACCATGGACCAAGGCCACGCCTCGGTGGAGGTGATCGCGAATGCTTCGGCTTCGTTGGTCTCCGGCCCGCAGTCGTTGCGGATCGTTTCGGCACGCGGCACGGGATGTAGGTAAAACAATGCCATTTTTACCACCCATGACTGTCTTATACCACCTATAAAAATGGTGATTTGGGTCATGGGTTATTATTAGGATGAATAGGGATTAATGGGATTAGTAGGATGAATAGGGACTAATGGGATTTTGACCCATATAAGCCATGGTTTAATGTGAACTAATGTGGGTGAAACAATGCAATTTTTACCACACATGACTGGGAATGGTAACCATACCACCTATAAAACGGGTGATGACTTGGGGATGGTTCATGGCATTGTTTTACCCACATTATATGGATATGAAAATGATTGAAGTTTGATATGACTTGCATATGTCGAATATTATCCGATATTTCAAGTATTTCAATTTGTTGTATATCTATATCTAGATTTATGGATTTGCTGTTGGCATGTGTGTGTGTTGTTTCTTTTACATATTTAAAGATGCCATGTGTTACATATACAGAGATACCATGTGACATTGTCACATGTGTACAAACCTGTTGACCTATTGTTATATTCCTAGATGAACTCATTATATCACTCCTTTCATAGTTGGTTTCCTGACATGTTCAACCAATTTATATCTTGCCAACCATTGGAATCGACCGGTTCCCCGGGTACCTCTCTCAGCCCAAGGTGAAAGGTGCCAACGTTTGCATTTCGGGGTCGACCATCACCTTGGAGGGCCGCCTTTTTGTGCCCTGGCACCAGGGGATTTCCGAAAAGTCATGGGAGTACCCCAATAGCTGGTTTTGATTAAACCAAAAAAACAAAGTGGATGCCATAACTTTGGAAACCTGCCGTTTTTGGCCATTTCCGGCACTGACCCGCGGAGGTTTTGGCCCGTCATGTGGCTCAAAGCCCCGCAACGCTGCGAGAGGGCTATGCTGTGGTGCCAGAGGGGCAGCGCGACGTGTCGCGCCTGCGACGCTGCTTCGGATGTGGCGTGGTGACAATGGGGTGGCTGCGGTTGTTTGACAATGGGCACCCAAAAGTCCGATGGTTTATGAGTCCTTGGTATGGTTCAGCATCTGGGATCAATTGGTTTGTGCTTATGTTGTAACATGTTGGGATACCCCAAGTGGTATAGGATAGGACCGATAGGAGATACTATTCCAATCCTCTAGGGCCGGCCCCCACGGCCCTGAAAAAGAGAGATCGAATCCAAGCACGGTGAAGAGCCCTGCATCTGAGGCTTGGTCTTGCGTGGCAAGAAGTGCGTTCTGGCGCGTGATGCCGACAAGAACATCAGAATTCCATTGGATGAGGCCCAACAAAACCTGGCGCTTGATGTCCATGGAAACAACGGGTTATGTGTTTCACTGATACAAAAGGATTCTCAAGGACTTCTACTTTACATTGTGAAGATTTGTATGAAAGTTTCAAGCTAGGTTGCCATGGCACAGAAGCATGTCAGACACCATTGATGTAGAAGCACAGGCGTGTTTGCGAAACATTCCACCAGTAGATGTTTGATCCTCAGAGTTCCCCCAGTAAATTGGAGCTTCTGACAGTATCTCTGGATCCTAAAATCCATAATCCAATGTCATTCTCACTTGCCCAAAAGGGACCATTTGAAGGGATAGCCCATCTACAGACAATTATATCCTATGATCACTGTTCAATCCCATGAAATTCCGCAATTCCATTCGATCCCTTTGGGTTGATGGTTAAATCATATGGAATCACCACTGTTGCTAGTTAAATGCGATAAAATCCTGTTTTTTCATAGTTAAATGGCTATGAATCAATACCTATTAATACCATTTTTAGAGGGATGAACATCCATTCACCAGCTATTTTGATGTTCACCAGGGGGATAGGGTTTTGACCCATCCCCAAATCAGTTAGATCTAATGAATTCCCCTTACATCTCCACGAAATCAGAGGCTGCATTGAAGGAGACGGCCCAGCAAGCTGCGGTGCGTGCGCTGGCAGAGGCCTGTGACATCTATCCAGAGGAGTTGCTTGGCCATTTGGGGATGGGATGGTTTTCACCACCGATGATGACTTGGGGCATTGGATTTACCGTGTTTAATTGGTAAATCCACTATAAATCACCATTTTTGATAGCTATGTTTGTTTGCCAGAGGGTACCACATGATCATCATTATCACTTATATGGTTTATATATATATAAGTGTATAGCACCAAAATGGTTCATGTATGGTTGATACTTTAACCGGGATAACGATGGGAACATCAACAACATACTGGATATAGAATGATGGGATGATTGATGGGAACATAAGGGATAATCATCTATAAATGATTGATTTGGGGATGATTATACATGGTTTACATAGTTAGCTGGTTTTTATACGGTGTGTATATATAATTATGTATATATATATATATATATATATACATATATGTATATATATATATATATGGGAAAAGGATTTTGTTTATGTTTTTTTACTTGGGGCTGCAGTTGGGGTGAAAAAGCATTATAAGTAACCATTATAATGAACCCCACAAAGTTGGGATAGTTTACCCATGTTTTGTGGAACTGCATCCCCAAGTACCCTCTGGTTATTTCACATAGACCCTGAAAATCGTGTTTTTTTGTGGAAACTCATCTTCCAAGCCCCTACTTGGCAGGATCGTCTCTATCACGAGACTGGTGATTCTGGAATCAGATATGGTGATTTTTCAGTAGGCAAAATAAGTGTGCTTCAATCACAAAAACCATACACGTCCTTAGAAAGCGGCAATCAAATATGTGTATTTGTCATTCAGGCTGGGGGTGGGGTGTGGCAATAGCGTTCTTGTCAACTTGAAGAAGCATGAAACTTTATGCTGTGCAGTGGGGATGGGGATGGGGTGGGGTGGGGCAATATCGTCTCCAAAACTAGGACACAAAACCGAATCTTGTCCTCGACACAAATCACGCGCGGGTTTCTGTGGCCGTGCACCCTAAAAAAAAGAGTTGGGATGGTGGTATGAAATCAACCAATTTAAGGGAAAAATACAAGGGGGCTGGGTAAATTATAACGACCTCACTGGAATAATGGTTAGTAAGGGGAACCATCCCCAAGATAGCCGAACATTTCAGATTGGTGAATTATTTTAATTTGCACAGAAGGGGGAATATAATGGGGATAGAATGACCTCACCATCATCCCCAGGTCCCATCGTGGTCGGCCAGGTTGCCTTTGAAATTCCCAGCGCACCCGGAAAATCGTAGCCAAGCCTTGCAGTACGAAATCGTTTTTGAAGAGAAAGTGACCCATAAATCCATATGTATATATATATTTAAATATACACATAATTTACAGATATAATAATAATGATAATAATAATAATATTAATATATATATATATACATATCAATTTGTGTTCTTTCGGCGCCAGGTTGGATCACCGCAGGTTGGCAATGTGCAATAATTTTCTTTGTGTCTATCTAAATAATTATCTATCTACTTCATTATGTATCTAGTGAATTATCTATCTAGTTCATTATCAATCTAGTGAATTATCTATCTAATTCATTATCTAACTATGTCTATCTATTTATTTATCTATCTATCCATCTTTCCATCTATCCATCTATCTAGCTATCTATCTATCTATCCAACCATACATCCATACATCTATCTATATAACTGTATAATATACATATATATATATGCAGTATGTGCACAGACTCTGGACTGTGTACACATGACAATTTGATTTTACTGTGAATCCTGTAGTTGCATAGCTTTGGGGTTTTCTAATAGTTAAGCATCCAGAAGAGCACAGAATAAATAGACCTCCAGTTTATTGATGGTGCCAACTTAACAATAATGTAAGTATCACTATTTTGTTGGTGACTCCCCCGAATTGATGGTACTTGGAACAAAAATCCAGGGTTGACGTATGTTCTATGATGAGACAGACCAAGAAATCAAAGATCAACTGGCATGGTCTCAAAAAATTGTAAACCGCACCCAGACGCATGTATTCCCACTAATTGATGAACACATATTCTATTCATGGCGTCTCAACTTGCTGTGGGCATGCAATGTGTCCCAATTATTCGTGGATGGATTCCCACAGCTGTTGTTTTTGTTTATCCATCTTTATTTGAAACATGTTGGTAATGTTCCCATGGTTGTTCCCATGCTCCATGTATGGTGCGTTTCTCATCAATCAAAACCTATTATTAGATATTTAGAGGGGATACATCCATATACCATCTGCTTTGGTGTTTCCGAGGGTACAAGGGTGTTGACCCATACCTGTTTTGGTGTATCCTCAATGATATACATATATATATATATACATATTATGATACATGTATACACAATATATATATATATATATATACATATATATATATACATGCTTTGCGGAGCATATTAGAGCTTGTTCCCAGTAGGTTACACTGCAATTCTTGACATTCTCAACTTGTGACGGGATGATTCAGCCAGTCGGTCACCGTCAGGTTTTTCATGCTGCAAAACGTGGCACCTGCGGCTGCTTGGCCTGTCCTTGGGCTATTGGTCTGTGAGCTATTTCCGAGACAGGAGTTTTCCAACTGAAAATCCGGGTGGGCTGAGATCTTCAGGGATTGGTTTTTCCTGTAGATTTTGGTTTTTATAAAATCCCCTTAAAAGACCCATTAACTCACCATCTTGGTGGATAAAATCCCATTAAAACCCCATGAAAAATCACCATTTTGGTGAACTCCGAGGCTTCCCCAGGGTCAACCCTGCAGGTTTACTACGAAGGCAGTACCGTGGTGAGTATCTTTTGCGCTCTGGCGCTTGGAGACCCAGATCTGGGTGATGAATTTCATGGGGAAATCCATGGAAATCTATGGTTCCATCTATGGAACATGGTGTTTTCCATGGTTTTTTGTTTTTTGTCAATAGGGAAAAATGTGCCAATAGCAATCCATGGAAAATGGTGATTTTTGATCCCGGAAATCAACCGTGACTGGGGAATCTATAGGGAACATGTGTCTATTTGTTGAGCCCCTGAAGCAAATCCAAGATAATCTAAGTCATGGTGGTATGATAGGGATACTGTGTCCTGTGGATGCAAATCCTAGCGATATGTTTTGAAATATGTGTTTCATGTATATTCAGTGAATATTGGGGATGTACCCATGAGTTGTGCCGGAATGTATGTAGGTACTAGCATGGATGTCTTAGGACGACCGGCACGTGGTGCCATTTTGGCTCAAGAATAGCTGACCAGGCACCCTGTTCCTTTTTTCTCCAACCCTTTCAAATGGATAGGAGGGAGAGGAGGGACAGGGATAGCCGAAGTAGAGGCCGCAGCTTAGCCGAGACGGGGTGAACGTCCACCTGAGCCTGCCCTGCCACCGCGGTGGAAGGAGCACTCGGCCGCCCCAGCTTCAGCCGGGAGGGGTCGGGAGCCTCCAGCGGGAGGAGGCTACAGAGCGGACGTTCGAGACAGATCGCCCCGAAGGTCTTTCAGTGCGACAACAGAAAGCGGCCACATCAAATCAAAATCCAAACCCCCAGCGCCGCCCCGGGGAGTAGCCCTTGGGCAGACCTCCGGAGTAGCGGCAGCGGGAGCGTGGGCAGCCCGTTGGGAAATCGCAACCCTCCTGGAGGGAGGTTGCAGCGCCTCGGAGCTCGTAAACCTGATCAGATCGGGCCAGGAGGGGCAGCATGTGCTGGACACACGCTCAGGGAAGCCTGCCAGTTCGACCAGGAGTTGGTCTCCCGTGGGTGCGCCTAGCCCTGCGCCAGGAGGAGCTGGGGCCCTTCCTTGGTCAGAAGGTTCAGACAACGAAGAGGATTGGCACAGGGACTTGGACAAGCAACAGGCCATCTTCGATGCGCTCGCTGGGAGTCCGGGAGAGGAAGGTGTTCCACCCTGGGTTAACCCCAAGAGTCAGAGCCTCGTAGAAAGGAAAGGAGCGCCACAAGTGGCAGGTGGCAACCCTCCTTTCACTTCCAGAAGCAGCGGTGAGGAACAGTTCGATAAGAAGGCCACGCCGCCACCGCCAGGTGTTAAGGCCACACTGCCCAGCGGTGTCCCGGTGCCGCCCAGTCCGCCCGGCAAGGGTGAGGGGCCCAGCGAAAGGGACAGTGAGGAGGCACGGTTTGAGAAACCGGCAGCCCCTCCGCCCAGGTCGAAGTCAAGGTCAAGCCGCCAGAGGAGGACCAGTCGGAAGAGGAGCAGACGGAGAGATAAAGACAGGAGCCGACGTCGCAAGAGAGAGTCGGCAGCGACTTCCATGAAAGAAAAGGAGGCCAGCGACATGGGCAAGTTCCAGAAGGAGTGTCTTTCCGTCTACAAGGAGCTGAAAGTCCTGGGAGTTCAAATGGAACTTTCGGAGATAGTGGAGACAGGAGACGCCCTAGACGAGACCAGGTTCCACAGGTTGACGGCACCAAACAAAGCAGCCACTGGCCTGAACTACACACGCCTGATGGCGCGGTTCCTTAAATGGAGACGCGAGCGGGACGTGGTGGCAGAGGCAGGGGCATCCTTTGACAGCCACATGGGCGTGCTGGACTTCGCCGAACACTTGGTGCAGTCGGAATGCGGCTACCTGACACCAAAGAGCTTCCTGTACGCTGTTGATTACTTCGGCACTGCATTCGGCTACATGCATGTTGGCGGGCGCTGGAACAGGGCCAAGCGACTGGCCGCATCCTTCGCAGCGACGAAAACCTCCCCGGTCAGCCGCGCCCCAGGATTCACCAGGTCAACCATGGTAGCCCTGGAGGCGGCAGTGTTAAATGGTCTTCTAACCAAGCCGGAGAGAGTGGCTTGCGGTAAGCTCAGGCTGTGCATCCAGTCGTCGACGCGTTTCGACGACATCCTGAACACACCGCTGGTGTGCTGTGAATGGGTCAGGAGGCCTGGTGAAGCCGAGATCCTGGGTCTGAGATCCCGTGCAATCAGGGGGAAGTCCGGACCGAGAGCGTGGATAGCAGCCATCAGCGGGGTGGACCCGAAGCACGATGACTGGCTGCCAGTCCTAATGAAGCTCATCCTCGAGTCCCACGGGGTGAAGTGGAGAGAGGATGATCACATGGGGAAGGCAGCAGGATCGGATGACGCCACATTCCTGAGGAGTCCATCATCCCTCGGGGGAGACGTGTCGCTGGTCAAATCCGCCCTTGGAAAAATGTCAGAGGACGGGGAGGACGTCGGCCTGACATCCAAGGAGTTGGAGGGACTGCGCTGGCACGGCGCGAAAGCCAGCCTCTCGAGTGTGATGCAACACCTGGGGATCAGGGAGAAAGCAGTGCGCCTCCAAGGTGGATGGAAGGACAGGGCCGAATCCATGCCTGACACATACCTACGGGAAGCGCAGACGCTTGTCCTGGAAACCCAGCAAATGCATCAGATACTTGAGAGAGGGCGGTGACTTAATCCGCCTGGTGGGAGTAAGTGTGGATCACCAGGCCCCACCGGCGGAGCAGTCGGGAGAAGAACAACAGCGGCGCGACTTAGCCATGGCCTCCCAGACGCTGCCCTCGGTGCTGGCAACGCGGGTTCCGGTGGATCTGCTGGATCCAGGCTTCGACGCAGCTGGGAAGATGGCGGAAGAGCGACTGCAGCATGAGAGAACCATCTTCAGAGAAGGAGATGACTGGAGAGAGTGTCTAATAGACGCAGAGGAAGCAATACAGGAAGATTGGCCGGAGAAGATCGACATTCCGGAGGTGCCGGGAACCTTGGACGAGAAGGCGGATCCAGAGGACGTCATGGACGAGCTGGACACCGAAGGCTTGACAGCCTTTTGGGTGCAGGCAAAGAACGCGGGGGCAAAACCACTAGTGCACCTGCCAGCGCCGCACTGTTTGGTCGGAGAGACCGTGGTGAATCCGGCCCCAAAGTGCGGCATCTCCGGAAGCTTCGTGGGCATTCAAGCAGAGGAGGCACTAGACCATGCTACCACCTTGTGCAGGAGATGCTCGGTTTCCAGTACTGAGAGGGTCTGCGACGGCATCTGTTCCCATGTCCACTAGACTTAGGCCATGATGTGGTTGTCAGGAGGTGCATCAGAAGGTCCAGCATCCATGGCAAACACGAGGACCACCTGTGTTCTCTGCACGAAGAAGGCCCAAGCGGGAGGGGCCGAAACGAGCAGACTGACACCGCAGCCGACAGTCTTCCATAGGAAAAGTCGTCTGGAGGCGGCGTCTGAGCAGAGGGTGGCTGCCCCCCTTTTAAGGGTGAGTACCCCCATAAGTAATTTACGGACCCCTAATTAGGAGATACCATAAGTGTGGTAATCCCTAACTAGGAGTTGCCGTAAATTCCCCCCCCTTTTCCTAAAACCCAGTGGGTTGGGAATGTGGAGTTACCCGGTATTTTGGAGGCCGCTGTATCTTAGCAGCAGGTTAGTGTTGCACAAACGCCGCAGCACTTGGCCCCCAAGCACCGGAAAGAGCGGCAGCCGCAATGACGGCGTTGTCACAAGCCAACGTCCCCGCTGCGTTCCGCAAATCAGCGGTCCAGTTTCGGGTGAGTGAGTCGGACTTCCTGCTGATGTCGAACATGGGAATCTACTCGCACGAGGCTTTCGCCTTGAGGGTGCACTCCAAAGACGCTCTGGAAGAGTACCTTCAAGATGTTGTTTGCCCCTCAGCGGCATACAACGACCCCACCAGGGGCCTTATTACTTTCAACCGCACCCCGGCCATCCCTTGGCAAGAATTCAAGAGGTCGGAAGATGCGGCAGCACTCCGAAAACTCTGGCTCTTGTCCAAGGAGTTGTGCAAGGGAGAGTTGGAGAAGCTGGCGTCGGGAGAGGACTCGAGCAAGACGAGGATCACCCTGACGTCAGCGGTGGCTATGGAACAGGAAGCAGTGAGCCGAGGGATGGTAGCTCCGGTGTCAGACTCGGAGAGGCCGTCCCTGTTCACGCTTGCCAAGATGGTGAAAAGCTTCGTGGGTCCGGGGGCAACCTACGAGTTTGTACCGTGGGAGATGTTCCTGAGCCAAGAAGAACAAGACCGTCTTGAGAGATCTGGTGCCATGCCCAAGTCAAAGAGCGAACTTGTACTGTCCAGGGACAAGGCAGTCATCAAGGAGAAGGACAACGACAGCCCACCGGTCGAGACGACGTCCGACATGGAGGTGATGCGGAAGCGCCTGGAGCTGAGGGCGAGAGCGGCCTGTATGGTGGGTTTGGCCCCATATGGGACGTACCGCACCTTGCACGATCGCTACTGCAGCAAGATCCTTGGGGAGGTCCCGGAAGGGATGAGGCCCCCAACAATCCAGGAGGTGAGGAGATTCGACAGAACCCTCCACCTGGAACTGCTGAGGTGGCTATCGCGGGGCGTAGGCAGCATGGACGGTGGCTTGGGCTACTACCTCACGAACGAGAACCTAGGTCTGTGGCGCCTGCTCGACGCGGTAGTCGGCACCCTTCCTGACCAAGGAATTGACAGAAAGTCCGACTCGAACAAAGGCACAAAAAGGAAGCACGACGATGAAGAAGACAATAGAGGTCCTGCACGTGAACCCAGCCCACTGAAGAGGAAGCCGAACGTTGGTAAACCAAACAAGCGGCTGAAGCAGTGTCTGGTCTGCAGGAAACGACACGACCCTTTTTGTCCAATGCCAGATGGCCATCGCCGTCAGATGAAGTCCAAAGCAAAACAGAGGGCTGCCACAGCCAAAGCTGAGGCGGACCGCAAAGACCAGCAGGGGTCATAGGGACAAGGCCTGTTGCCGACAGCAGCGGCTGAGTCGGCGAAGAGGGCCAAACCAACGCAAGCCGCACAGAGCAAAAGTGATGCCTTGGGGACAGGGGTCTGTTCGCCGAGGGGCGACAGAGTTTTTGAACCTTGGGACATCCTCAGGGGTAAATGCATTTTTAAACACCGTAATGAGTTGCAAGAGGATTTGGAAAAGTCGCTGTTGGAACATTGGGCACCAAATTGCGCCACCTTTTCCAGAGCAAGGGAGATCCCAATCCCGGGAGTAAAGAACCCGCCAAGACCTTTGAGGGATGAGGGGCACCCAGCCGGAATCCCCGAAGAGTTAGCGAAGATGTCAAAGAAGTCAATACAGAAACTGGATGACGACACACACATGGCAGATCTCGCAGCAAGCAGTTGCAAGAAGTGCCATGAGGAGGGCAGGTTTTTCACCCTAGAACACCCGGCCAGGAGCTTGGCGTTGCACCTGGAGTCATGGAAAAAGCTACTTGGCTGCAAGGGGGTCTTCTGCGTGTTTTATACCACCTGTATGTTTAAAGGAAGTAAACGTAGGAAATGTCAGGTACTCATCTGTAACCACGAGGCTTTTCGTGCCATGGGAAAGTGCTGCAACCAAAGAGGTGTTTGTGAAAGAACAGGGGAAAAACACCTCAAGTGGCGTCCCGCAACCGCCAATGGCTCAGTAGTCCAGTTCCACACCGGAGACGAGCGAGAATACCCGCTTGGGTTCTGCGAAGTTTACGCGGAGTGCGCCATAGAAGTGCTGCAAGCGAGCGGACGCTTTGTAGAGATCTTCTCTGGCCCAAACGCCCCCCTTAGCCAGGCTGTGTGCAGTCGGCTTGGGGAGAGATTGAAGGGCCACCGTGTGGACTGCAAAAAAGGGATCACAAGCAAATTGCAACGACTTGCACAGGTGGTCGACCATCGGCAGGTAGAGCTGGATCCTATTATTAGCAGTCAGCACGGCCCCCGGGAGTTGTCCAGTGTGTCTGACAGACGCCCCGAGGTTTCATCAAACCGGATCCGCATGCTGGAGGCCGGAAGGCAGCCCAGCTACGGAAAACGGCAGCAGCTTATTCCGGACGGCCTCAACGCGGCACTGCTTCATCTGGAGGAGGCTCTCAGATTAGAGCATCCCTTCAATGCCGCAGAGTCGCTGAAAGACATGCACCAGCAGGCCCTGGACTGGTCCACTAAAACACCAGGAGAGCTGAATCGCCTCAGGCTGCAGACCTTGGCGGAATGGAGAGTGTTGGCCAGGAGTGCAGACATAGTTTCGTTGCAGCAACAACACGAGCTGAAGGCGTGTCAGAATGCAGTGCGATTGGGACGCAGACCCCGCACAGCCTTGATGAGCGTGTTGGGAGTGCGATACGGAGTCGAAGATCAGGCAGTCCCCATCCTGTGTTTGACAGGCATGCCGATAGTCGGCGAGGCCCTACGCTCTCCCTTTTTCGAGCCCAAGGTGGTCCCAGCGGTGGTGACAGTCAAGGAGCTACTGTCATCAGCCGCTAGGAGACGGCAGGGAGCCTTGGAGCGAATCAAATACATGTCGAGCAAAGGAAGCCGGCGTCAGGCAGAGGCAATCTACGCCAAGACCCTCAAGGAAGTGGCTCAGGGATCTATGGATGGCCCCTTCTCCCACGAGCAGATCCTCCAGGAGTTCGGCCCCCATTACAACCTGGTGCCCAGTTTTGGATTAGAACAAGGGGTGACCGATGACGGCGATCCGAAATTTAGAAGGATCGACGATCACACCGCAGGATTCACTAATCTTGCCGCAACAAGGATGCAACGCATCGACATGGCAATGACAGGTTATTTGATTGTGATGATCAAGTGCGTGTTCGCACGTTTCCACACCCAATTGCATCTCGGTTCCGAGGACATGCAATCAGCATACCGGCAGATTCCCTTGGTGGATAGCCAGGTATCAATTGCAATCACCGGAGTGTTCGACCCTGAAGAGAACGAAGTCAAGCTGTTCAAAATATTTGGGCAACCATTCGGAGCGGGTCACTCGGTGCCAAATTTTTACCGAGTGGCCGAGTGGGCTTGTCGCCTTCTTGTCAGAGGCATGGGGCTGATGCTGGACCATTTCTTCGACGATTTTTACTACGTCGAAAGAGCCGCATGCAGCCAGGTTGCGGCCTTCTGCCTGCAGCAAGCCTTCCTCCTCTTAGGTTTGCAGCTGGACCCAGGTAAGTCACAACTGCCAAAAGAAGTATAACATCCTGGGTGTGGCATTCAACACCAGTTGTCTCGCGGCGCAGAGAACTCTACTGGTGCAGCCGAAACCCCTCAGGAGACGTAACTTCCAGACCTTGGTCGAAAATATACTGGCGAACAACTTCTTACCCCCCTCTTTGGCTGCCAGTGTGGTTTGCAAGTTCGGCTTTCTTTGCAGCACATTGTTTGGCAAAGTTGGTCGTTTTTGTACAGGCCACTTAAGGGAGCGCCAGTACTCTCAGCAATCCTCATACACTCTCACTTCCCAGCTCCGTCCCAGCTTGCGGCTTATGGTGCACATCATCACCATAGCACCTGACCGCTCGTGTCATTTTGGGCCTCAGCGTAGGCCTTGCCTGTTGTACACAGATGCCTCAGATGTCCCACACCGTGACCCCCGGTTTGGGATTGGGGGTGTTCTGATTCAGCAGGAGCCATCCTTTTCAGTCGAATTTTTCAGCTCTTCAGTACCTAGTTCCACTGTGGAACAGTGGATCCCCAAGAGCACTTACATGGGGCAATTGGAAGTACTGGCAGCTCCTGTGGCTCTCCATACTTGGGGAAGCAGTTTGAGAGGTCGCCAAGTCATCCATTTTATTGACAACGACGCCGCAGCCAGCAGCCTCGTTAAGGGGTATTCACCTAAAACAGATTCCACCGCGCTGGTCGGGGAATACTGGTCAGCGGCAGCGCAGCATGGTCTCGAAATCTACATCGACAGGGTTGAGTCCAAGTCCAACCTTGCAGATGGACCGAGCCGGTTCCTCCTTGACGAGCTCCACCGTCTTCAAGCAACTCATGTACAGGCGAAATTAATTCACCATAATCAATCCCAAATTTTTCAATTTTTCAATGGGGACGGCGCTGTGCACCCGCTTGCACAGTCTCGGTGACGCCACACAATTCATCCGTAGGGGAGCTACATGGAAGCCACCGGACAGCGTTGGGAGTAGAGCTTCCTGGGCTCCCTAGGGATGAGTGGCTGTGACGGGCCGGTATCCGACCCATCTTCGCTCAATGGGTCGAGGACTGAGCGTCACACGTCACCCATGAGGGCAACGACCCGACCCAAGAGGAAAAAGAAGAAACGGAGCGACTGCAGCAGTTTCTTCCCCTTTTGGAACGTGCTAAGTCAGAGATATCCTCTGGTAATGTGAGATAACTATGGAGCATGGACCATTTATAGATAAGTTACCGAACTTGAAAATGAAGATGTTTCATTTGTTTGAACATGGTTGTACCACCTCTAAATATGTTTCGAAAATAGTTTATCCCCCAAATCAGCTGGTCTATCAGTTTCCTTCTTAAAATGACCATTTTGGGGTGTATACTGGTATACGCCATTTTCAGACGAAGCCAAATCCCAACTAGCCATGACAGGCACAAACGGGGTGGAAAACCCCAAAACCATTCACCATCCCGGACATAAACTATTACTTCACCGTTGTGACATTGTGCATATCCGCTGAAGCACGCGACACGCCACCTGCCATTGTGCAATCAACGGCACAGAATCTTACAGAATCTTTGTGAAGGGTAGGTTTGGCGCATGGTTTCTGTTACTACGTACAACTTTATTATTGGAGTTGTTTTTTTCTAACATATTTTGTTCTAGGTATGATTTTGTGCTCAGCATTGCTTTAATGTACCTGATTATATTGTGGAGTTTGTGGGTGGACAGCTAACAAAGCAACAACTTCATTCTGCATTGTCGCATCGAAGGTTAGTCATGAAGAGCCACAATCATCATTCAGTGTGAATCTCCAAAAATATTATTAGTTCCAACCCCATATGCTCCAGATATCAAGATTACATCATATCTGCCATCTGTACATCTGCCATCATATAAGCCACGTTTAGCAGCATTTCCCAACATTGAAGCGACGATGGGTTGACTTTCCAGGACCAATCCACCACCTCCTGGAGCCTCAGAAGATGAGGAGCAACGGAGGTTGACACCAGTGGGTTGAGGATATATGATGATAGTCATGTTGATATGATTGGAATATGTCATGTTAATTATTGGACTATTGATGCTGATATCATTGGAATGATAGTCATCTTATCATTGCAAAAAATATAACAATCGACGCATGGATAGTTGAAGAACCACTGAACAATGACGACATATTGAAGCAATCCCCACAGTGTCGCAAATTGGTTCAACCAACAAGGAGCTCTTGAGACACGCTCTGGACTTGCAACTTCAAGGGAAAACACATCCTTTACTTCAGATGTTCTTAGGGGATCTTAGTGGATGCAGTTTGCTGATGTTTGCTGGGTGGAATTGGGTGAGCTTTTTGTGTGGTCTATGTCTTCGATGCTCAGGGAGATATTGGCATCCAAGGTCAGCCTTGAGACCAGTAGAAACCAACTGGTGATAGCAAATTGGCATGGCTTTGAGCAACCAGTAAAGCAAACAATTTATGAGCAATTAGTGAGTGAGCCAGTATGCCCCAATCAACCTGTTGAGCGTGTTTTGGTTATTGTACTGACTACGTACTTTATGTATGGAGCAACTTGAATCCTATACATATAGTCACACAGTCACACAAAATAACAAGAACATCTCTCATATGATTCTTGCAATACATTTTTCCGATACATGTAGTATATTCTTACAATATATTACCAACATCAGTGTGATTTTCGCAGAAATCTCAACATGTTTCACCCGCAAAAATCCCCAGGACCTCCTGGATGAAGACGACCTCTACGACTGGTTCCGCTACGACTCGGCTGTGGCGCGGCTGCCGTTGCAGCAGCGCCGCGTCCTGGCGCGGCTCAGTGCCGACCTGCGCGACGCGCTGGTGGCGAAGGTCGTCACGTGCCTCGGTGGCACCGGGGGCACGGGTGGTGCCCTTGGGGGGGGCCATGGGGATGCAAAAGCCTATGATTTCATTGATTTCCCATGAATTTGGGCATGAAGGTACCATTTCTGGTGCTGTTTGACTCAGAAGACTTTATGAAATTAAAGGGTTATATGCCTCTCATCAGCCCTTATTAGGGGTCTTATTGAGCCAAGCCACTATTGTTAAAGTGGATGGAAGGAAAAATACAGTTGAAACACCTACCATCTTCAAGTAACAGGACAACCCTGGGCGATTCGCAGGGTCTGTTTTAGTTCGGGGCATGATATATTTGCGGGTAAATACCATGGTTTCCTGAGTAGATTGGGGTGGTGGAAGTTGGTGAAAGTTGGATAAACTTGGAACATCTGGGAAGAACATGGAAAAATTGGGTGAAGAAGGTCTGCTGACCCGGACATGAACGTGAACGATGGGTGTCAGGTTGATTTTTCAGAGGTAACAAAACCAGGCATGACTTGGTTCCTGGATTTTGAACCAACCCTTAGATGCCTTAGATGTTCTGGTTGCGTGTCCCTCAGAAGCCAAGATGTGTTAAAATGACAAAGACAACATCAATATGTGAAAACAATGTGTGTTTCATTCTGTTTTTTTCTTAACAAAAGGTTTTTTTGGTCCTGCGTTGGGTTGAACGTACCCTGCACTTTGGTACATGCTGTAATCGCTTGAATGCATCCAGTTGTGCTTCCCAGGAAATGCATCACATTTACTTGACCCTTTGCCAAGAGATTGGCTGCTTTCTGAGCCAACAAATCACTTTTTTTGGGGGGGATCTGATGGAATATCTGGATTTTAGGTACAAATTGCTTCCCTGAGATGTACGCAAGACGAGCCACCATGTCACAGTATGATTCAGGTCATATCATCCAAAAATTAAAATAGTTGTGAACTGCCATATACTAGGTGAAGTGACATGTTCCAAACGTGTGTTATTAAATGTTATTATATATACCCAATCAGATCTACCAATTGGTTGTCATACCAGCGAGTTTGATGGTAGATTGCTTATGACTATATGTTCATCAACTTTGAATTAATTTGATATGATATGATATATTATTCACACAGTTTACATTCACATTTAAGATTTGAAGCTTTCAAACGCGTTTGCAACCAGGAATAAATGGTGGTCTTCCCAAACAACCGTTTGGTATGTAAGAAATCAGTTCTTCGGGGTTCTAGGATATGATCAATTGAAATAGATTGCAACACAATTCTAAACAAGCTAGCGTATAGGGTGATGGTGTCAAGTTGTTTGAACTATCAGTTGGCCCTAGATTGTAACTTGGGCTTCTGGAACATGTTACTTGGGAGTTCCGCTTACAAGTGTACGTCCAATCAATTTACTTCGATTGGTTTGCCATTAAAATGCAATATTTTATGCGTTTCACAGCTAGCCATGTTTGATGACACCAGAGGGCAACTCGTCCAGAACATCAATGAACATCATATATTATATCATATTATATCTATCATTGAATTTTCAGTTGTAGTTGGTTTATACCCATCATATCCCATTATATCACGTGATGTACTCATTTTTCCCCATTATACACAATTACTTTCTTTTTGTGATCTCCTCCCGAACACAATTTTCTGACATAGTTTATGGTATACCGTCTGGAAGTAACGATGGCATATATATATATTTATATATTCCGACATCCTATTTGACATTCTTTCTGGTATATATTCTGACATATTACACTCGCACTTGAGGTCCGGCAGTGCTTACTGAGATCAGGGCGGAGGGCACCGATAAAATCTAGAGATCCTCACCTGTGGGGGAAAAACACTGATGTTTGGATTGTCTTACCTCTTATGTCACCATTTTAGATACCAGTTACAGTATGTTTATTTAACATAGCCATGGGAAATCCCCATTTTATAGCTAGGTAAACCATCTATAAATTGGCCATGGATTCTATGGCTATGTAACAAATAACCAGAGGGTAATCGCTATGAAATCCATCTGTTTGTTGATGGTACACAGGTCAGACTATCCATGCGATTTCGGCTCCGACGTGGTTGAAGCGCCCCCTGAACCAGGACCGTCAGCGAGGTCAGCCTTGTTTTTCCCCAGGAGTTCGCCAAGAAATATGGAGGATAAACAGGGCTCCAAAGCGATGGAACATGTTCCAATGGAAAATAATGTTAGTGGGTTACAATGAAACATGGTTGATAGTGGGAACATGTTCCAATAATCTATCTTACCCACTATCAATCTTTTTCAGATTGATATTGGGTATAAGAATGGTTAATCATGGTCAAATCCAACCTATCGATGGTAGCCAAAAGGGGGGTCCATTGGTATTACCCCAAAAGGTACTTGGGTTAACTGGAGCAATCCTGATAATTTTGTAAAATATGTATGTACCACTACATGATGGATAATTGATGGTTAGGATACGGGAAGTCAAACGGATGGCAAACGGATTTTCTGATTTGCCCGCTGCAGACAGCCATCATGCTACCGATCATGGATTCATTTGAGCAGCGGTGACAACGTTAGAGATCTGTCATGAACATCAAGCAAAACATAGTAATTCTAGAGTTGTTTAATGACAGTCAGTAATTCTAGAGTTGTTAAACTCAAGTAATTAGAGAGTCAATTTCATGAGTTTAAAGTTTGGGCTTGAACAGTTGGTTGAACATCGATTAATTTGCAAACACTTCAACGGAACATCGATGAACATTACCAACTAACTTGTAGAAGAATCCATCCACGTCAAGTCTTAGAAGAACTGTTTTTGTCTGAGGATGTTGATGGAATGGAAAAGCCCATCATGTGCATTTCTCATACCCTCTGGTAAACTAACATAACTATGGAAAATCACCATTTTCAATGGGTAAATCTACTATAAATGGCCATTTATAGATTGTGGTGTAAACAATTCAAGCTTCGGTTTCTGGTCTTGTGGTGTGTTCAGGAGCTGGCGATGTCAGAAGTGGATACAGGTGCGCCCGGATACACCACAAAAACGGGGGTCGAATGTCCGACATTGCTACTATAGCTTCAGGCTCCAAAATATGCTGATTGGGGCATCCATCTCTGTACGTGACTTGTGTTGCCACTTGAAAACCGCAGGGCAAACTTCGGAGATGGTTTCAACTGGAGAAGAGCGAAGACACTTGGCAGATGTTGGCAGCATTACATTTGGCGACCTCATCCTAAGGAGATGACACAAGGAGTTATCAAAAGTGGCTGGGTTTGCTGTGTCCTTGACGTGTCACTTGAGATCATGTCAGATCTGAGCCGAATTCAATATTTTGTCCGTAGTTGCATTTGGATAATTATTTGGATTTATATTCTGACATTCTATTTGAAATTGTTGGTATTGTTTTGTATGCAGTATTGTATCAGACACATATTACTGACATATATTCTGACATTCTATCTGGCAGTTTCTCTGAAAGATATTCTGACATATTATTCTGACATATATTCTGACAATTTCTGACAGATATTCTGACATATATTCTGACATTCTATTGGATCTACATTCTGTTCTATTTGACATTTATTCTGCTAGTGTAGATCATCCCATGAGCTCGCTGGCCCGGGACCGTGCAAGGTCTACCAAAAGCTGGTGAATCGTAATACTTATCTGACATGTCATATATATAATATATATAATTATAATATATGATTATATAATATATAATTTCATATATATATATATATATAGTTGATGATGTATGTCATTGTATAAGGTGTTTGTATAAGGTGTTTGTTCTGATCTATCTTAGTTGCCATAGATCTTGACATTGATTTTGACAGATGAGCTCGGTCAGGCTCCACAGAGGATGATTTTCCCCACGGGAACTACGAAGATTCACGATCTGTTTGTTGGACGAAACACGAAAACAAACATGGAATTACTAAAAACTAATGTTTTCAGACTTAAGACATCGAGAAAGAAACATTTCATATGATGTTTTAAGAATATAAAACGTCAAGAAGCACAAACTGAATATTTTTTTTACGGTGAACACTGGCCGTTAAGGCCCAGGATTGACGATTGTCCCGGACTACGCTTCACTTGAAATTACAAACATGACGTTTGACGGAAGGTTTTCCCATGTTTTCACTGTTGGAACTGGAGAAAAAATGAGCATGAGAACCCTCCAAAGACTTGCACCAAACCTGCATAGTACGGGAGTTGTTCCATCAAATTTGCCCGGTTTCAAGCCTGCATTCTGCAAGGGTTGTGCAAGGGTTGGCACAAAGAAACCTTTAGCAGCGCCGCTGTGGTCGGTTTTCAGGCACAGCATGTTCTCCAGCTGTCCGGGCCCAGGAACTGTCAGTGTTGGTAGAGGAGATCTGCCTGGACGGCGGGGATGCCCGAAGGGGTGGGCAGATGAACACATTGGAATGTTTATTTTCGCCATCATGATTTAGGATTTATGTCATGGAGATTTCCCCATTTGGAATGAAACAACCAAATTCATTTCATGATTTAGGATTTGAATGAGACCCAGAGTACTGTTCCCGGGTGGACAAATGCCTCTTTGGACTCAATTATACACGTGAAAAGCTGCGAACTTATCCTACAATGATGCCTGGTACGGCGTGTTTTTTGGAACATCTTTAGCTGCCAAAATGGAATGCCGCCAAAATGTCAAGCCCGTATTTTTGCTGACTCTGTTTTTTTGGGGTATGTTTATATATAAACAACTGTGGGGAGTAAGATTGTATTAGCGATTGACATCTCCAATCAACCAAACAATCAATCAATCAACCAATCAGTTCTTCGTATTATTCTTCCAATCAATCCGTTTTGTATGGCAAAAAACAAATCTGAACCAGAATAAAACAGAATAAAACGTACTAACACCCATGGCCCATGATTCGCATGTTTCTAACCAGCTTCAACCGCCTGGCGGTTGACATCCACAATTTGCCGTACCTCAAGGCACATCAAGACGAGGCCGTGATGCTTCGCAGTGCAAAAGTTACGCAGCGGCCGAAGTTCAATCACTGGGTGATGGATGATTTTGAGTGCTCCAGGTGAATCGCTTGTATAGAAACCCAGATAAAGATGTAAAAACGTAGAATCCGGCTATGAAATAGTAGTGGTTGTTGATTTTTGTTTGTATGTATGTGTTACCTTTCCATCTTTTTGGGGTTACTTCATAATGATAACTTAAGCAGCAGCCAGCTTTCAAAGTTTGGTTTACTACTTTCCTCTTGGTTGATATGTCTTGTTTGATGTGGTTTATCGGATATGATTCGCCTCAAGTGATGAACGGATCTCCAGGTGCGACAAACTCAATGGGAGATGATCCAGCCATGCTCATTGCCAGAGGGTAATATGTTTGGCCTTGAAGAGTTTCAATATCATGTCTTAACCAATTTAATTCTGTCCAATGTTATGTTGGGTCAGTTTAAACATAAACTGATCCATTATAACATACCTGATCCTATATTGAAAGTTGGTTACATTGGATCAGTTGTTTTCTTCCCTCAGGATTTCATTCGATGGTTGATCACCATGTTCCCCATGATGGTCGTCAACTGGGAGAATTTCCCCCCATTTTCACACAAAGCCAAGTCCATTCTTCGAATTCTTCATGGCTGATATGACGTGTTCATATCATGAGATATCAAAAATAACAACTATCATGAATTATCCAAAAAAAATCACCACTGTTAAACATGTTATGAATATACTTTAAACGTGTCAACGGATATGAATTGATGCCGTGCCGCCCGTGGACGCTCCATTCGTGGTTTTTTGGGGCCAGGGATGGCCCGCGGCGCCGAACGCGGGAGCAAACACAGAGGTCGACCGTAAAACCGTGGGACCGTGGGACCCGGGAAGTTGGAGCAGTGGCTCCCATGTCCCATAGGATCCATGATGATCCATGGTGCTGGTATATATGCTAACATTGGGGGTATATTGATGGGATCCATGTTACCATATATAGCAGCACCATGGATCCTATATGGGTGTTGGTTGATGGGTTGGTTCGTAAATGGGATCGTTCTCCCGACAGTCAGGTTCTTTTGCATCAGTTCTGCCAGCCATTGGGCTGGGCTGACAGCATATGAACATATGGGGACATGAGTGGATATAACTGATAAATGATGATTGCATTAGGCCTGGTGATTGTAGGGGATTTAAGTGACAAATGGATCTATAATGGATCATTCACCATCTAGAATGATAATCAAGATATATTTTTTAAAAATTTATTTTTGAAACAAATGGATCTAGAAGTGTTCAGAACCCTGGTTGGTTGATGATTAGTTTGGGGACTATACTACCCAATATATTGCAAAATTATAATAATCCAATAGGGGAATCCCTGTAAACCAACCAGTATAATCGAATGATAGAGGGATTTTGAACACTGCTCATAGGTTCATGGTTGTTTCAAGAGGATTTCATCAAAATCATCAACATGTACTGGATGATGATTGTTGATGATTGGATATTTTGATGATAATCAGCTGGATGATGATTAAACATCAAGGAACCAAAGTGTTTTTGGGATTATGATGTGTAAATGTTCGAAATAAATCGAAATAATAGTTCATGGATCGAGCATTTTGTGATACATAAGTGGGGTATAGTGGGGTATTATACGGTAAATGTTCTATACTACTATACTGATTTAAGAAAGCATGGTTTATATAGTTCGATGATTGGCCTATTATTTTAACGGTGATTTTTCATACTCTTAGTTTCCTGGAAGGTACCTGGTTAGTTTACAGATTATCGTTGCAGCTTGGTGGAAACACGGAGTGACAATCATGACACTGACATTGGCGAAGTCTTCCACAGTGATGTGGTGGTCTTTCCACTAAGAGTTGGGGTACCACCCATTCGACACAAATGGGGTTCAGTATTGGATTTGATCTATTTATTTGGGGGGGGGGGCAGTTTCTGTGGGGTGTATGTCATATTACGAGGATGGGACTAATCTGACAAACTAAAGGAAGATGTATTGTATGTACTGTGACTTCATAGATCTACCACCTGCATTATGACTGTAGATCTATATCATACCGATCATACCTAATAATTATCCATTTTTTTTCATACAAAAAACATAGGTGGTAGAATCATAACCAACTAATCATTTAATGGTGATCCATGGGTGAATGGTGTGCATTTGGATATTTTAAGATTCACCGACTCCTGGGGAAAACGGTGGAACTTTCCAGTGATTTCTCCTTGACTTTGATGTATTGATGCTGGAACACATGTTCATGATTTTTCATGGGTTGACTGTTTTCGTTCAAGATGATTTAGATTGTTTGTTGAAGTTCACCAAGTCTAACTATGTTTTTTTTTTTATATCAAGATGTGTGTATATTATATATATATATGTACAATAGCTTTATCTTTTACTGGTACCATCTCCAACTGTTCTGCTTGGGACCGTGACTTTGTCAGATCGCCACCAGGTCTGCCTTGTTGTCCCTCTTGGAGGTCGCCTCTTGGGTGTCCTGAATTTCATCAAATCCTGTGACTTGATGCATACCCTCTGGTTATGTCAAAATAGCTGTTGACAATGGCCCAGTTGAAATAGTGGATTTACCCAGCTACAAAATGGTGATTTTCCATAGTTATGTAAACGTTTACCAGGCCGGGTAATTTGGATAATTGATGTGAATCATATGTGCAAATCATTGGTCATTGGTTGAATCATGTTGATCAAATAATCCTGTGACTTGAATCTTGTGTCGATTGGATTGGTGGACATTGCTGCTCACACACGGTATTTGTTCGTGCCAATTTCATGGGATCACTCAGTTCCAGATTTCCATCAAGGCACTATTGGTCAAACAAAGGTGTTTCCTGTTCTGTGCCCATATCCTCACAAGTCTTATTGGTAAAATGCCTGAATGAAGGTTCTTATCAGAGATGTTCCATGTCTTCAACCCCAATACACCCAACTCTCCATAACATCGGTTGGTAAATCCTTCTTTCTTAAAGATGTTGCCGGTTTGATCCCTTTGACCTCTCCCAGTTTTCATAGTAAATCATAGTAATATATATATATATATTATATCTATATATATATTATGATATTATCATATATATATATATATATTATATCCATATTCCGAACTGCAGTGCGCGTTTGGCTTTCCACATCTGGGTTTGGAACTGATGCACGATGCAACTGAAAGACTAGAATGAACCTGGAACTATTACTGTTGCAAAGCCAGGCTAATTCATATGTGCGATGGTCAAGTTTCATATTTTCTTTTTCCATAAGTTCCAGGATGCTTGAATTCTGGCTGAATTGTAACGACCTCACTGCCACTGGAACAATGGTTAGATTGGTGCAACTATCCCCAAATGTCATCAAATGTCCAGACTGTTGAATTGTGGATTCATATGACATCTGCCAGGTTCATATATGCTTATTTCATATGGTTTCGGATTTTCGTCCATTGTATCCCCATGTCTTTCCCCATATGTATCCCCATATCTTTCACCATATGTATCCCCATGGATTGTGCCCCCCATATCTTTCCCCATATGTATCCCCATGGATTGTGCCCCCCATATCTTTCCCCATATGTATCCCCATGGATTGTGCCCCCCATATCTTTCCCCATATGTATCCCCATGGATTGTGCCCCCCATATCTTTCCCCATATGTATCCCCATGGATTGTGCCCCCCATATCTTTCCCGCATATGTATCCCCATGGATTGTGCCCCCCATATCTTTCCCCATATGTATCCCCATGGATTGTGCCCCCCATATCTTTCCCCATATGTATCCCCATGGATTGTGCCCCCCATATCCCCTGTATCCCCATGGATGCCCCCCATATCTTTCCCCATATTATCCCCATGGATTGTGCCCCCCATATCTTTCCCCATATGTATCCCCATGGATTGTGCCCCCCATATCTTTCCCCATATGTATCCCCATGGATTGTGCCCCCCATATCTTTCCCCATATGTATCCCCATGGATTGTGCCCCCCATATCTTTCCCCATATGTATCCCCATGGATGTGCCCCCCATGCCCCCCATATTGTCTTTCCCCATATGTATCCCCATGGATTGTGCCCCCCATATCTTTCCCCATATGTATCCCCATGGATTGTGCCATGTTTTGGCTTCTTTTTTGTTGGGGGCTTCACCCAGCCCCAGTAGGTGCCTGGCAAAGTTGACCTCGAGACACAGCTGGCGCTGCGAGACTTCCAGCACTTGGAGCTCTCCTGGGGCCAGGTCCGCCGCCAGGGCTGGGGCGACTGGAGACATGGTCGTTTTATAAAACGGAAACGTTGACTTTAGGATGTAGGACTTGTTGATGTTTGTTGTTTTTATGGCAGTTCTAAGTTCTACTAAGTTCTAGGTGATTTTAGCTGTTGAACTGCTGGTTGTGGACAATGTTTGTAGCTGAAACTCAAGTTGTTCAGCGACTCATGGAGCTCAGCTATTGAAAACAATCCCAGCAGGCTTGTTTGGCTAAACAAAGCCAACTTGATTGGCTAGTGTTTTTGTTCATGGTTAAACAATGTTAATTTTAATTTGGTAGAACACATTAACAATTAATTCATTATCGTTTGTTTGGATGTTTGTTGGTTGTATGTGTTAATAGTTCCCCCTTGTATGGATATTGCGGGCAAATAAGCAATCCTACCTGCTAAGAAGTGGTTTGGACTTCTTTCCTCCAAGAACCAAGTTCTACTCTATATATACTAGTTGGGGGATGGTAAGCCAATGTTTGCCGTATCAAACTGTATTAGCCATTACCATTATCAATCAAACTACAAAGCAAATATATTTGGATATATTTGGAATATTAACCCAATGTTTACAGTATTAACCATTGTTAAAATTATGATGTCAATTATGATATATTAAAACATAATTAACATATTATTTGGGGTATAACCTAACTGCGGGGTTAGTACTGCAACATATTATGATGTTAACCATTGATTATTTGGGGAATGGCAGTCAGTTCTGAGGATTTGGTGCCGGCATTGCGAGCACTGGCGGCCAAAGACCTCTGGCAGAACGCCGTGGAATTTTTCTTTGAGGAGCACTGGGTAGATGTGGAGACGAGATCTGTGATTTCCCCAAAAATGAATTGGGGGTATGGCATGATCTGTATGACCCAGCAATCATGGGGCTATCAACAAGAATTGATGATATGAATGGGTTGTGCCACATTGTTGTACCATGCATCGTTCATGTCGCCATGTGATGGGTCCGGTCTTTTTTACTTGGTCAAAACATGGCCCCTTTTGGTACACAAACTTATGGCAATGGACTATGTTTATGTTCGATGGGTGAATAATGTAGAAAGAGGAAAAGACTGGACAGTCCGTTGCCTTGCTGAATTCCACCCAAACCTGTGCTCATGAAGCCTTCAGTGATGAGTGGCGATGTCAATAGGGTATATAATTCAAAGGAGTCATTGCAGAACCAAGAAAACATTATTCAAGAATTTCAAGAATTGCGATGAACCGGTCCGGTCAAATTGGGCTTTGATATCACAGTAGTTAATGATAAACATCGCAGGCCAGGGAAGAGAACCTGACCAGTTGATTTGGTCATGTTTAGGAAACCATCCCAATTCGTCCAATTTGAGTGCTTTTAATTAATGGTTTGACTCATATCCATTTGAAGTCAAGAACAACATGACTTGTGATTTGCACCTCCAAAAAGGTGACATGGAACTCAATCAGAGTCCAATCGCAAGCGATCAACTTGCGATGTTCCGGGTTCCTAAGATGAATTCATGGATTGGAAATTGAAATACTCCAGTTATATGGCCAGCACTTATGCTATGCCCAACAATTCTTTTGGGATTGTTGGGAACATCATTTTTGGTGACCTTGACAGTACTTTGTGGCCTTCCACTATGCTGGGATGATTTAACTTGATGCGGTTCACACGGTTTCGTGGACCACGTGATTGATGATTTTTCTGCGGGGATTCGGCTGTAATCCTTTCGCTGTTTTCAACACTTTTTACAGAAACCCGAAAGAAAACCTAGGAAAACCCTGGGAAAAAAAACCCTTCATTAGCCCTAAAGAAACCCTGAAAAAGCCATATGAAAGTGTATATAGCGAAGTACCTGTGGGTTGTAGCGTACGTGCTGCGGCTGCGGGCAATTTTACATAATATATATATATATATTATATGGAGGTTTCCGAAAATAGGGGTACCCCAAATCATCTCAAGAGGATTTTCCATTACTGTAAATTCACCATCCATCGCTCCACTCCTACATCTTTCATCGCAGGAGGCAGCTAGCCGAAAGGCCTCAGCACTGGGTGCATCGAAGTCGAAGTTTTTTATTACCAATCATTATAAGGTGCGTATATTGCTTTTAGGATCCACCATCCTGCAAATTCATCAGAGATGGGTGATATGAAATATCATGAAATGGTATAGACCATTACTGTAACATATGGGTGGTTTATGATTGTTTTACACCAGGAGGGCGTGTTCTTGTTTGTATGAAGCCACAGTATACAGATGCATTGATAGCCATCAATGGCCACCCAATGGATTCCCACTATTTCTTCCCTCCCCAAAGGTTTTGGCGAAGTCGCAACGACTGAATCTGTGGTACGCAGATAGACTTGGATCTTGGATGAAAAGTGTTTACAGAGGGTATGTGAGTTCCACGTGTTGTTGACTGGTACCGGTAAATTTACCATGCTGTTTCTACTATTCTGGTTAAGGGTCATAGTCGATTTGTTGTACCAAAATGATCCGACCTCCGCTTGGTAAATTCTCATGTCAACACTGAACTAGTCAACCATTGTCAGCAAGAGAGGGTCACCCTAAAAAGTATGAAACAGTGATGAACGAATGGTTATGAAAGTGCTATTCCCTAGTCGGACAACCATGGGTTTACTAATGTCATATGTTGCGACGAATTCCGTCTAATTCACATGTTACTCACCGGATGAACCATGATGAACCTGCCGGGGCACAGGCGAACCTCCCCGAAGGCAGGAGATTCAGTTTGCGAATGCGAACAGGGTGACAGTGCGTGACAGTGCGTGAAAACAAAGATCACAGCTGATTGGTGGTTTGGAACATGGCTTTTATGACTTTCCATATATTGGGAATGTCATCATCCCAACTGGCGAACTCATATTTTTCAGAGTGGTAGGGCGAAAAACCACCAACCAGACGTTGCTCTCATTGTCGCCTGGCCTCCGGTGGTCCAGGTGCTCTCAATGCCACGTTGAATGCTTGCCAAAGAGCAGGTGGAACCTCGGGACGAGCGTTGTGACGGATGTTGTTGGTAAGGGATGGAGCCAGGGCACTGCTCATGGCTGAACGCGAAGGCGGAGTTCTCTGGCGTTTCATGAGGTGTTCGTTGTTCGTTCCGGACAAGAACCGTAGTGATAAAACATGATCAAACATGATAAAACTAGAAATCACTTGGTTGCAGTGTACCAGCACCAGCCGGATGGTATGGGGAGAAATTTGCAACCATGAATCCTGATTGGTGGTTTGGAAAGACTGAAACCATCAACCAATTATTGCTCCTGAATCGCGGACCACTTGGTACGTTGGTAGGAAGCCGGCTTAGTCAGTCTACCATTCTTGGAACACTATTTGGGTGTGTATGTTTTTCCAGTACTTTCAAATTGGGACGCGCATCGACCCGGATGCTATTGCCATTTTGGACAATTTCATGGCAGGTGGAGTGGTTCAACATCATATAGGATACGGTATACCTCAATTTCAATCGCACGTCGCGTCGCCTGCCTTGGATCCATTTGGATCCAAAGGGTCAAAGTTACTGACGTCTCGTCAGGTCAGTGGGAGGCGTGTTTTGCGTTGCTGCAGCACTCCCTGCGCACGCGTCGGTGTGCTCGACCCAGTGGGGAGGACAAGCAGGGCTTGGCAGGGCGCAGGGCTCACCATTGAATCCATGTGGATTTATCTTAGCAGCAAACGGCAACCGGCAAACAATGCTTCGATTCATCAAAAGACAGAGTTGGCTTCACTTGAGTATGACAATGGTTCTTTTTGTGTTTGTAATCACCCAAAACATGTTTGGAACATAATGGAACTATACGGGCCTCCTTTTTCTGCGTAATTCGGACGTTTTTGATAGTCTCAAAATGCAGGTTGTCTTTGGCAGCCAACGTCGAACATGATCAAAAAAAATGGAACTATAACTAGTAACCAGTACCAAATTCAGCAATGGCGTCAATAGCACTTTCATATGAGTCCGCTCAAAAGAGTCTTATATATATATATCAGTGGCTTCCGAGCAGCAACACAAACCTTTGGGATCCTTTCAGCGGTATTCATCTGGAAATGTTCATAAAATCCCCAAAAGTGGAGTTATACATTAATTGATAAAGAGTATGTAAAGTTATACAAATATTTGATGAATATTATATGTACACTAATAGATACTATAACATTAGAAGTTATACATCCATCGCATTGGTGTCCGAGCCCTTTGATTTCAGCGGTTTACATCGCGCTCAACGAATGCCCGGTGAGAAACGCCTGAGGTCGTCATTGGATGTGATCTCCTTCAATTCTTCCATCAACGCGTGTCAAGAAGGTGCAGAAGCCAGTCATTGACCAACCATGACCAACCTATAGAAGGGAGAGCTCATCTTATGACAGATTCATCATTCTGATAGTTGAAGCGACCGCGGCCCAGACCATGAATACATTTCAAGAACCTCCGTAGTAGCTTCGGATGTTTGTTTTTTTGCTGCTCTCTTTCTCTTTGGTCTTTCGCCTGGGATCGCCACGCTCTCATTCTTGGGGCGTTCTTTCTTGCATTTATTCGCAGTGCTTCGTTGATAAAGGCTTCTACCCCCATGTCTTGCAACTGCAGTTTTGTTGGTGGCAGGCTTCTACCCCTTTTTTGTATCCTTAGATATCCTTAGAAGGTTAGTAGGTAAATGATGGCAGCTGGCACAAAAAAAACGGGTAACTCCAGAAAAGCCGAAACGCCAGGCGCTGCGTGGCTTAGGGCTCTTCAGCTGTTGCAGCTCATGGAGAGGGAAAGGATTTTGGCGAATGCCGCATGGCTACCACGGCTGTATACCCAGCTACCGTGGCTCGTGCTTCCATGTCTCCAGATTGGATTCTGGTCATTGCATAATTTACCAAGCAGAAGTTGGATCATCGGAAGAAATGGGGATGTAAAATGATACAAACCCATTAAACTGTTTGAATCTGTTTGATGGTGTCAGTCTTTTCTGATCTTTTCTTGCTTTGCATACGCAATATAAACCGATCCCAGACTGACTTAAACCCCGAAGCAGTGCACCTTACTGGTCGACCGGGCCAAGTTGGGTGAAGTGAACTGTTGAGGTGTCAATTAATTAATTACTGAGTAAGTGGTCCGGAAAAAAAACATATATATATATATATACATACATATATATGCTGATGTTCTATTCCGTCTATATAATATTACCTGAAGATGGAACAATGATCCTATGAATCCTAATGATTCAATGGACTTGCTGATAGCAAGAATCAGTTGAGGACTTCAATTCTGCAGCCGTGTGGCAGGTAGATTCACGGTCTTCCTCAGCAGAATTACACATTTACTTCATGAATGGAGATACACGTACATTTTTTTCCTGACAATTCGATAAACATAGATTAAACATAGTTGAAACAGCCATGACAAATCAGAGCCCATCATTTGAATCATGGCTTATCTCCAAAAACGGTTGCTCTCAGGACATCAGCTACAGCTCGTGTATCTCGGTCTGTGGCTCCGCAGCGCAGTGGCAAAGATCCCTGTGGCGCGGCAGGAGAACTGGTGGCCATGGTGGCTGAACATACCAACCATAGGGGTATGCCATGGAAAGATGGAAGCTTGTCATAATATGTTATAATATATGATAATATGTCATAATGTGCTAAAATAATGCAATTCTAATTGGGGATGGTTTATGGCATTGGGTGGAAATAAAGCAGTATATGGAGATGAACTCGTGATTGGCTATTTTTGGCTGAAGGATTTCTGGTGATTTCTGGTGAAAGATGACATTGTCAATGATATTAATATATATATAGACCTATGGTTCAGCATGATTGAATCCTGATGGCTGACAAGACATGTTGCATCATTTTAAGCCATCCCCCCAATGGAAGCTGCCACGAATTAGGGAAGACGACCTTCCTCTCAGGTGATTCTCAGGTCTGTGTTAGTCGTGGGATGCTTTTTTCTGATGAGAATCCCCACCTGTCTGAATTTGCCTTCAATGTGCATACGATAAGAAGCATAAGAAGCATAGCATGGTTCTGATGACTCCCCTGAAATCGAATTCTGCCTTGGATGTGCCCAAGAGTCGGTAGGTGGCTCATGCTAATAATGCATTCATGTGTCCTTTCCAGTGATGTAAGACCACGATCTTTATTTTTCACTGGATTTGTATCCCAGGTACTAATCACTGAGTGGGCAAATCAAATGTTGAATAATTTCGAACAAATGACATATTATAGTATATTATAGTTATATATAATATTGATTAATATTACATATAATTGTAGGCCAATAATCCAGTTACATATGTGTGAGAATAGTACTGGGGTAAGTCACGTCTTTCGCCACGTCTTTCGTCCAAGGTCTCTGCTCCACAGGAAGCCGGGCTCCGTGGTTTCTCTGGGCGCAGCGCTAGATGCCTGCGCCAAAGGAGAAGCCTGGTAGCTGGGTTACATAACTTACAAACCGATATTCGTAATAAAGGAACCAGTGCGTCTTCAAAGTTTAATAGTAAGATCGTATACAGATCGTTTTGTTTTGAAGACCCAATCGAATGATCCTTAGTATCTATAGGAGTACTGTTTTTGTTTGTTAATGATTTATTTTTGGATTCAGTTTATTATTTATATTACAATTACAATTATATTTGGAAGTATCATTATATCGATTATTATATTAAGTTAAAGTAATTTAAGACATTGATATATACCTGGATATTCATTCGAGCAAAAATATGCGCTCAACCTACTTTTCGTCGAGCACTTTTTGGGCAAACGAGCACTTTTGCGTAAACGAACAGTTTTGGTGCATCTAGCAAATATGATTCAAGGCCGCACTCCGAGCGCACAATCTCGCAAACGAGCGCACACAACCGCACACGAGCGCACAAATCCGCACATGAGCGCACTTACAGAAAGTGTCCTTTTGGTTTCTTGCCGCATGGTTGCTGCACTATTTTCGGAGACGAACAGTCTTCAAGTCGAGCATTTGTTTTGCTCAAATGAAGCTCCAGGTATATATATATATATATGATTATATATATTCCTATATATATACACATAATTATTGTATATTATTGTATATACATAATCATAGAATCATCATAATCATAGCACAATGATCACACCCAATTGGCCGCGGTTTATTCTCAGATTGGAACAATAAAGACCAATATAGGAAACTAGATTGGTTTCAGGAAACCGTAGCTGCAACTCCTGAAACTTAGAAGAATTCGAGTTACAACTACTTTCCAACGGACTTGAAACCATTAAGATATTAAGAAACTCTGGAAACTCATTTGAATCCAATGAGAACAGCTTTGAAATGGTTTAACAATGAGGTCAGATGTCTGACGGAGTGATATTCCGATTTGTTTCGACCTGGTAGAGAGGATTCCTTACATAGCAAATGTTTTTTCAGAAACAAACACTCCATGTGTTTCTCTTTAGGGTAGAGTGATGCTGTACCGTGGTTTTATACTCAGTTGGTACATTTAGGTATCACTTCCAATATTACTTGTTCAACATGATAATATGATGACAAAGGTGTTGCAAGCGTGCAACCATCGTATTGCAACCCAATCAATTGTGAGAATAAAAAGCCGTTAGAAATATTGGAATGGGTCAGCAATTCAGTACAATTGTGAGAATAAAAAGCCCTTAGATATATTGGCATGTGTCAGCAATTCAATACAACTATTTGAAAACTAGACCTAAACTATGTCTTTCTTGGGTAATGATGAGCAATTTGTACTGGGATGATTTGATAAGTCACAAACTGCGCTGCAACTGGGTTAATTCCTATATGTGTGTGGGTCAAAACCCTGGTACACGGGTACCCTGGTGTACCACCAATGAAGAAACTGATAGAGCCGGGTTGATTTCGATGGGATGTATTCAATATTACCCTCTGGTAAACTAACATAGCTATAAAAAATCACCATTTTTAATGGGAAAATCCACTATAAGTAGCCATTTTCAATAGCTATGTTAAATTACCAGAGGGTATATACCATGTTTGGATCTGTTTGGTATTGACCCAGGCAAGAAGCGCTATGCCTCTACCAACTGATGCAGCATGGTGATACCAAGCCCAATGTCACTTGGATCTGGAGCACGTTGGATCTTCTTGGTCATAAGTCATACCCGAAGCATCCGCTGGTTGTCAAAATCTTCGTAGTTTCTTCATAGTTCTCATATTTTACTATATATCAAGCAGCTTCATAAAGATTACAGTAGAATTTCACATTCAACTATCTGAATCATTGGTTGATATTTCTTTCATATTTGCACATCTGCTTAGTTGTTATCCCCGTTGGCCCAGGTTCCCATCCCCATTTTGTTGCTTGAAACAGTTGAATCAGTTGAATCCATGATTTGGTTAAGCCCGAAATGTGTCGATTCGTCACCAGTTTGTGTTGTCTATAGACTCTCTCGTCGACAGCTCAATCTCATGTTAAATCTCCCCTAATATTACAGCTGTTTGGGTTCATCTACGCTGGACAAGCCAAGGAATTCCGCAGTCGAAAGCCGGTCGAAAGCCGCAGCAGTCAATCTTCCCATGCTCCTTATGCGCCAATTTCATAGGAATAGGGTACCCCTAAATCAACTAGCTGATCATTATATCAGCAGTTTACCATTCAAATGGCCATTGTATATATACCCCATTCTTGGACAAACGCAACAATTATGGATTATGGTTAGGTACATGTCCTATTGTATCGCCAACAAATTCCATTCACAATCCCATTAAATCCCTCTTTGTTGGTTCAACATATTAAGTTACCCTTTTTGCCTATTAAATCCAAGGAAAATCACATTGTTGATAGTGAAATCCCATGAAATTATCATCACAAATACCATCAAATCAGCATCCAATCACCATATGTCAAGATCCCATGAAATCATCATTGAATCATCATCAAAACACCATGGGAAAACCCCATTAAAACACCATCAAATCACCGTTAATCACCATGAAATCTGGGATTTCCCGCATTTTTGCCGCAGATCAGGTGATCTGCGGCAACGCGGTGCTGAACGCCTTCTCCAAGGCCCTCCAATGGCCTTTGGCCCTGGTGCTGCTGCAGGAGATGCCGAAGACCACAGTGACTTCGTTTTAATGGTGATTTCATGGGGATTTTCCATGGTGTTTTGGTGACTTCCATGGTGACTTAGTGGGATTTCATAGGATTCAGTCATCAAAGATGGTGATCATATGGAGACTTCATACTGAGGGATTTAAGAGGATTGAAGCATCATCAAAGAGGGATTTGATAGGATTTAACCATCACCAGCACCATAGAAATTCCATAAATTCTTGGGGATCCAACAAAACTATGGTGAATTTCACCATCATTTGGATGGTTTAAATTGGGGATCCAAGAGTTTATTTTGCAGTGAGATTGAAGATGGTAAGAGAAAATATCATATGAGTTCGGGGTCTGTCTGAAAAAATTGGAGCGGTACCGGCGGTACCAGCAAAAGTTTGATGGTTTATGCATGGTTGTCATCAGATTTCCAGTTAAAATCATCGGAAGCCTTTTCTCACCTGTAAGGGAGTTGAGGATCTTTGAATCTAGGAACCTGTAGGGTTTTTTGCGATGAGACATAAGATTGGATGAATCAACATCAATACACATTATAGATTATGGAGAAAAATATGGTTTTCACTGAGTAAAAGTGGTGGTTTTAACCAACACAAGTGGAGATACAGTATTTTGATAATTCCAAATCAACAAATGAACACGAGGATTTTACCCGTATGGCCGGGGATCAAACGGAACAAATGTTGAGAATTTAAGATCTTAAGAATTCTCAAAGGCAGTTCGTTGAGTTGCCAACAGAAAGGTGTGGTTCAAGGGGCGAGATGCATTTGCGACTCCCAAAACTCTGCTTTCTATGGAAAAAGAACAGCAAAGTATCGAGCCAAAAGCCACGAAGATGTGCAGGTTACGCCAAGGATCCAACCTGAGGGGAAGAACATGGGGCCCTGACCATCCTCATGACGACCACAATCGCATGTAGAAACCTGGTGAATGCTGGCACAATCTTGGACTTATGTTATATACATGTGTATATATATAATTATATATATACACGACACATCTTGATATGACTCTTCATTGGACAGTTTCTTCCGCTGTGTCCAAACAACAACCGCAGAATTTTGTAGATATATGTCAATTACCAATGGCTGGCCCATCAAAAACTCCCTTGAAATCCTTCAGGTCATCAGTTTCAACAGCGTCCTGAGTGCACTTCACCACTCCTGGCCTCAAAGCCTTGCTCTGCTGCTGCAGATGCGAGTGCTCTGGGCCGCAAATCATGGGCCCCATATAGGTCCCATATGGCCCAGTCTGGACCCATGTTTCATTGGGCTAGAATGAAGGTTTCCTAAAATAGGGGTACCCCCCAAATCATCCATTTATAAATGGGATTTTCCATGAAATAAACCATCTAGCTATTGGGGTATTCCCATTTATGGAACCCCCCTGTCATCTATTCAGATCTATCCAGTATAGTGGTGGATTTCCTGGGAGTGTTGAGGCTTTTAGGTCGCTCATGCCTTGGCCATCCCTGTTTGACAAATTATCCCATTTGACTCACTGATATGTGTAACAATAATCTCAGGGTGAGAAGCCAACCTGCTTCTTTCTACTTCTTTTAGCCCTTTTAGTCCAATCATTTGAGTTCAAAAAACTTTGCCTTTCAGTGTGATCACTCTTTGAAAGACCAAATTCAATTTGCCGTTTTTGAGTCGTTTGCGTGAGAAGGGAGTTAGAAACCTGGCTGAGAACTTTTTATAGCTCGCTGTCAGAACAGCTTGGAGCGAGGACATGTCCATCGTCAACGCGGCATCCTATAACACCTGCATTGCAACTTGGATAGCGCAGGATCCAAAACAGCTGATGGTTGTAGAATCGCACAAGCGCGCTCTTTCCACAATTCTTACCCAATGGGTTCGTAGTAATTCGATAGGAAGATTGACTAGTGTTTGGATGTTTGGTGCACACTGTGTATGTCTGTATATATATATTATATATATATATATATATGTACATATTATATATATATGTACATATTATACGCATATATATAGTTTATGTATAAATCATATATTATATATATATGTATATATATATATCATATATATATATATTATCATATATATACATATGATATATATATATCATTATATACATATATATCATATTATATATGATATATATATATCATATATAATATGATATATATATGTATATTATATATATATGTATATTACATATATATATATATCATATTTATTTATATATGTAAGATGATTCATACATTTACTGTGTATATACTTATATAATATGTACATATATATATATATTTACATATATACATATGATATACATTTTTCTTAATGGATATATTCAAATGGTCAATTGGTTCGCTTGAGTACTCATGGTTTTCCAATCAAAAACACTTCAAACTGTTCACCATTCGTCCAGGATTCCGTCAGCTGAGGCCTCAATGGGTGCTGCCTTGCAGTGGCCTCGAGCCCTACTGCTTTTCGAAGGCTTGAGCATTTGGAAAGCCAGTGAATTGTTTTTTCGCCCTCAAATGGCAAATTGGGGGGTATCCCGCGTATTCCCCATTTTCAAACACGCATAATACTGTACTCCCAATCAGATGTGTACTTGTGGAAGATGACTTGAAACCACCAAAGTAAGTACTAACATGGTATGTCATAGACGGTCTGCAATACCTCCGATTGAAAATTAGATGGATCTGGGTCAAAACGCTGGCACCCATCATCCATCATCCATCAACCCCCAAGTACAAAAGGTTTGAAAATCCATCCAGCTTGTGCAGTTCATCTCTGGTGGTTGATGGTTCGAACTTTCGGTGAGACCTGTCAAACGGAGTTTCAAGCAAAACGGGAGTCATAATGTAATACAATAATGTACAATACTTAAAATATTCCATAAATACTGTAACATGCAATAAGTAATATACAGTACGTATGTATGTAATGTAATGTAATGTACTGTAATGTATGTGTGTATGTGTGTATATGTAATGTAATGTAATGTACTGTAATGTTTGTGTGTATGTGTGTATGCATGCATGCATGCATGCATGCATGCATGCATGTATATATATATATATATGCCTGGATGTAAGCATGCATGCATGGATGGATGCATGGATGAATGCATGTAATGTACTGTACTGTACTGTAATGTAATGTAATGCAATGCAATGCAATGCAATGCAATGTAATGTAATGTAATGTAATGTATGTATGTTTGTATTTATGTTTTTTTGTTTGTTTTGTTTGTTTTGTTTGTTTGTTTTGTTCGTTTGTATGTTTGTATGGTTGTATGTGTGTGTGTGTTTGTATGTGTGTATGTTTGTATGTTTGTATGTCTATATCTTGAGTAATACCTATAACATATATTATATTATGTATATTTAACATATAATATTGAATATATAATATTATTAAACATGTAATATTATATATCATATTCAACGTATAATATTTGATATATTATGTACAACATGCACTATACTATATGATATACGATGAATGATAACATGATATATATATATATATATTGTATTCATCTCTAGATAGATATATATATATATATATGTTCATTCTAAATACAAGGTATTGTTTGATGTAATATTTGCAATACACAACATGCAATTCAATATACGAATAATGTTTAAAATGTAATATATGATCCAAATATATCATATGTAATATATATATAAGATATGTTTATACATACATATATACATACATACGGTGTGTATATATATATATATATGCAGACCAAAACGTGTACTATCTGAAGCGCCCCATAACTTCTAAAGGGAGATATTGCTCCAACTCCGCTGTCAAATTGCGCCACGAGCTTGTCGACCTTAGGTTTACACCAGAGACGTATCGAAGATACGAATGGCATGAAAATCCCAGGAACCCGTCTTTAGTCTACCATGAAATCATGAAAGACTCCTAGTTTCCCTTAAATGTCCTGAAATGTTTCTGTGTTTTGGGACGCCTTACAATCCCAATCTATTGCAAAGTTTCCTTCCATCATTGTCCATCAATTTTCCCCAACTGTTCTGTGTGTAATATCTCAACATTTCTTAATTTCCCACTGGCTTAAAGATGTTTGTTTGTCAAACATCCAAACTTCCATCATTTACATCCATTTACATCCATTTACATCATTTACATCCATTTACATAATATATGTGTCTAGATGTCAAAGATTTCCCCATGTTTTTCCGTCCAGGAACTGGAAGCAGTGGCGCCCTGTTGGGAGCTTTGGGCCAGGCAAGCGCCTGGCGCCATGCACTACGGATCTTGAGAGGCCCGTTTATGACCATTACCAGAATAATGGGATTTTATAGTGGTTTAATGGGATTTATAGTGATTCAATGGGATATTAATGGGATATACCCTCTGGTAATTTGTTACATAGCTATTGAACATGGCCATTTATAGTGGATTTACCCATTAAAAATAGTGATTTTCCATAGCTATGTTAGTTTACCAGAGGTTATCCAGGATGATTGTGGAATTTATGATAGGTGTATAACATTTAATGCTACATTGCTACATGTCATGCCACAATTCTCAAGTTATTATTGTCACTAGGGTTCATCTAGTTATAACGTTTCGGGTTTTTAGGTCTAACATAATAATCCTGGAACATGATAATGACTTTATGGAATGACTATATATATGTATATACATATATAGCAAGCATAGCATGTCTGTACCATTCAATAACCATGTAAAGCTTGAAAATTTAAAAGGGCTGTGTCAGATGTCTCCCCGATCTTTCACCGACTCAAAAATCATATGCTCTCCACAACCGTATCGGATAGCACAAACCATATGGATTTCACGTGATTTCATGATGTTTGTTCCTTACAGTCCCCGTGTTGTTTGATTGAAACATGTTGAAATAACACGGAATCCACCCATTTTGCGACTGAAGCCACCGTTTGTGATGACTCAATGCCTAAGCATCATAATAGCCGTTATGTTGGTGTTTATTGCGTAGCAGTATAACACAAATGCTCAAACACGCCTATCACAGCTTCCACAGAATCCCGAAGACTACAAGGCAGAGCAGATCAAGGATCTATGGGCGTGAGCAGTTTAGTCACTGATGGCGCGAAATTAGGTTTGATGAAAATACTTTGGATGTTTGATATAGGTAGACAGATAGATAGATAGATAGATAGGTAGATAGATAGATAGATAGGATACGGATAGGATAGGATAGGATAGGATGGATGGATAGATAGATAGATAGATAGATAGATTGCGAGTTCGCATGCGCAACATTTTTTTGTATCACACAAACCTCAACCTCTATGCACAAACTCATATACAGTCGTCCCTTCCTCTATGTGTATGCAATTGTATGTAGGTATGTATGGATATGTATGGATATGTATGGTGTGTATGTATAATTATATATATACATGTATGTACTGAATATATATATATATATTGTTTTTTTGTTCGCCCTTGTTTCCATGAGGGTCAGGCTTGATTTCCATGAAGGATGACCAGCCCCAGATCATTTTCCGGGAAACAACGAATTTCTTTGATGTTCCACATTTTTTTTATCATGTTTACCGGTAAATGGTCAGCATATCTCCATTTAGCCGCATGATATTTCATATTCCATATATTGATGGTTAACTCAAGCTAATTTCCCTTTTGAGATATATATATATATATATATGGATTTGTCTGAGACTTGTGTACCCCCCAAATCCATTGGATCATAATCATGTTCAGACACACCCATCTTACCGCTTCAGGGTTGAAAGCGCCAGACCTCCTGTGCTACAATGCCACCATGAGAGTACCTAGTTCTAACCAACGGAACGGAACGGACACGAGCGCTGTGGGTGAAAACAGGGTGGGTCAAACGGTCAGAGTATAAAGTATACCATTTTTGTGTACATATACAGTATGTATATATATATATATATGTATCTATTTACATATACAGAATATATATATATATATATATACGCGAGGGGCCTCAGGTTCTCCGATACCCTCAGCTGTGTTTGAGCTTGAAGATGTAAAAAAACAGCTGGCGCCTAGGTAATTTGCCAATTTTTCTAGTGGCAACGTCCTTTTCAACATCATGTTAAACGGATCAATTTTTTTTCGTCCGTTTTAAAGCAGAGTCATCTTGTGCCATACATTATGTTCTCAGAAGTCAGAAATCGCATTTTTTGGTGTAAAATGGTGAATTTTCATTGTATAGTCATATCGTGGTCATGTAAAATTGAGCAAATGTACTGTGTTTTCTCAGGCATTTTGCGTCATGGTCATTTTGTACTGGTATTTGCAATGAATTGGCAACGCGTAGAAAATTGCAAGTGCTGACAGTCAGGCGTTTTTTCTGTGTTTTCATTGTATATACTATAGTGTGAACACTTAATGTTTTGTCAGGAGCTTGCATCTATATATATATATATTTACAAATATACCCGAGAGGCCGCATCAACGTAGCAGCAACGTAACATGAAGATGACGCTACCATGCCCCACCCCACCCCACCCCTCCCATGAACGTAGCAGCAACGTAACATGACGCTACCATGCCCCACCCCACCCCACCCCTCCCATGAACGTAGCAGCAACGTAACATGACGCTACCATGCCCCACCCCACCCCACCCAACCCCACCGCTTCTCCATCGGAGAACCTGGGGCCCCTCGGGTATATATATATATATATATATATATATATGTACGTGTATATATATATATATACACATACAGACAATGTATACATATATAAAAGTAATATTGATGATTTCAATGGGATCCGTTTCGGGGCAAATCATCTATAAATGGGAATAATTGAGGGAAAATGAGTAGCTATCCAGGTAAACTGCGAGTTGCTTATTTTGGAGTTGAAATGACCCGTGGAAAGAGCTTGAATTTATGTGTACGATATAATATACGTACAATTCAATCCGGCAGAGAATCTCTTGGTGCAATAGTTTGTTTGTAGGTATAAATCCATGCATCAATGTACTGCTTTTATTTGCACGCCAGTCGTGCATAGTGGTTGGGTTCAACGTGTGTTTTTCGTTGTGAATTTGATGCTTTCATTCAAAGCAATGCTGAGCAATTGGAATCGGTGGTTTATTATCCTTCGCACTAATGTTTGAGCGGTGAAACTCTTAAAATGGTTTTCCTATGATGTTCCGATTATATAGTCATCCTCTGAAACATTTACTCGGGCAGTTTCGGCATTGGTCGAAATAGCCAACCGCATGATGTGAATATTTTGTGAGTTTTTGTCATTTCCTATGGTTTGCCTTTATCTACTGAGCAGGGTATCTATAATCCACATTCCTGCCGGACGTCCAAATTTTCGAAGGCTTACACACCAAGACCTGGACTGCCTGCCGGTCCATGCCATAGCCATCATAAACACTCCTGTACTACAACTTGTTATAAACTGACTTAGCTTGAGGCGTCGGCGTCGCTTTCTAGTTTTTTTACACCAACAAATCCATAGTATATCATCATATTCCCCATGATAATCACCATCTTAGTATCACTTCAAATCCCTAGCTTCGACCCTAGGCTTGCGAACGTGCGCACGAGTGGCAAAGAGCCATGCTGATCTTCCATCAGATTCAGGCAGGGCTGGGCTGGAGATTGCCTACTTGGGGGTACATCCCACTTAGTAAATGGGCTATACCCCCAGTTGTGGAATAAGCCCACATAAACACTCATAAACAAGAGAAATCATAACACACCATAATGAACCATAACAAAGGGTTATGAGCCATAATAAAGCATAGATTATGAATAGATGTAAGCACACGATTGAACACTACCATGGAAATAGTTGATTTACCCAGCTATAAAATGGTGATTTTCCAGTTCGCTATGATTGTTAGTTTACCAGAGGGGGAAACATCCAGCCATTATCCAGCTATTGGAGGTCCACCATGACTATGGAAACCCGCAATTCAAACTAAACCATCATAAATTATCCAGAGGATATATCCTCATGAAATCACAATCTACAGTGCTTAAATCCCATTGAATTCACCATTTTTCACCGCCATGAATCCCCTTTTTGCATCACCATGGCTGTGCCATGAACGATTTGTTTACCCAGGTGAAGTGTCGAAGCAGCGCCAGCTACTGCAGTGCCTGCAGCGCTTTGTCCCGACAAAAGCACTGGCAGCAGTCCTTGCAGCTCTTGTTTTCCTGGCTGCAGATGTGGTTTTGGGGGGGCTATAGCGGCTAGGGGACTGGGATACCAATGAATAGTCATTTAATATAGGAAAAATGAAGTTTGAATCGATTCACCAACCAGAATAGACGAACATGGTGATTTAACCAACAATCATCCCAGTTATGGCCCAAAATAGCAGTGATAAGTCACTTATAATCCCGTTTATGGAATATTTATGGAATGATAACCCCATATATATATATAACCATTTACAACTGATAAAAGGATTAAAGCGCGTTTACTGGATGAATTGGGTACTTTAGTCACTAGTGGTAAACCTTGCATGGGAACTTTGGGACCGTTTCTTTTGCTGGGGACATTGTATATAGTGTTGGGATACCCCTAATTTGATGGCCAAAGTTCTGACCCAGTGCTCTATCTTTCACTGTAGCAGTTGGTTTGCAAGAACGGTGTCTCGTGCAAAGCCAGGGTGAACAGTACAATAACGGTTCTTAGCCATGACATCCGTGCGCGGAAAACATGTTTTTCCAGAACAACCCTTTGCAATGCAAGGAATGTTCTGTACCAGTGAGTGCGCCAAACAGAGTGAGTGAATAGCGTGCATTGCTTGACCCCTTCAAAAAGGAAGAACATTGGAAGAATACAACGTTTTCCAGAGCCTGTTTGTGGTGTCGAATTCGATAATTCCATCTTCCAAGCTTCGAATCAAAGACCCCAAAAGATTGGACGGTCAAAACTCGCTTAACTCTGGATACATATATCTATACCCAACTTATAGCCAAGCCAATTATAGATAATCCACTAGCCCAACTATATATACTAATCCAACTATATTTATATTATCTATACAATATATGATCTTATGTATATCTATACACATTTATATATGCTGTTGAAAAGTTCCAAGTGATCTTCCGGATTCCAGGTGCACAGCGACAGCCAGCAACTTGGCCTCCCGACCTCTGATGGGTGCTGCCATCTTTGGCGCAGCCAGTGGCGCGGCATGGCAGGCTGGGAACGGTTCGTATGTTTGAAGATCACCAAAAAACGTCCATGGTGTATCATCATTATCCACAGTACAAGGCCTTTTTTTTGGGGATCCATGTGCAGATATGTACAGTATCGCCTATTTTTGGACAGGCACGCACATAAAATATTGTTATAGCGCTATAGGTTATATGTTCCATAAAAGCCCATTAAAGCCCAATTTTCCTCTAAAAACTGGTCATTTCCGAAGCATCGACAGGTGGCCGTGGCGATTTTCGCGTCCATGCGTTCAGCGCAGGTTGAGCCTGGAAAGCCCAGTTTTCCTCGTGACCGAAGCCTGCTCAGGATCTGACAGTCGACCATCTGACTTCACAAAGATTCTTTGAAATACTGAGGGTTGAAATTCATCTCTACAACATGAGGCCTGCTAGGTAGGCAGCTGAGACAAAAGGGTATGTGATAGGCAAAATGCTCCGATTAAGATTGAAACGTGGATATATCATGATGTATGTACAGAGTTCAATGGGATTCGTTCTTTTGTGTACAAACCAAGCTACTTCTGGGGGCCCAGACATTGCTATACAAACCTCTCATCTTTTAGATCCCCAGGTATTTTGTAGCGTCCCATTGTATTCTCATTTAGGAATTGGGACAAAATACATATTTGTCTTTGCATCACCAACTTGTTTCCCCAAAATTGCCATCTAGAAATGCCTAGAGAAAAAAACATATCCCTATCGTTGTGACATCCCCAGTATTATAGATAAACCTCCAAGATTTGCAATTACACATCCCCATTGCAATCTTGGAATCTTTTCTATATTTATACTATACATAACTTCTGACAAATTCTGTATGTAGCCATATTTCCATGGGAGTATTTTGGGATGTCATGAGAGATTTATGCGCAGCACCAGAAACCGAGACCGGATGACTCCACCCGGCACAGCCTCTTGTCGGTCCTGCCAGCGGAGCAGGCGGGAAATTGGCCAGGGTGGCATAGATGATCTTTATCTATACTTATATCAATGGGAATTTTAGGATCCTAAAATGGAGGTACTATACCATATAAGGCCTTATATATGGTAAGTACCTCCAGTTTGGGTTCCTGGAATGGCCGTTGATAAAAAACGTTTATCTCATTAATGTCCCATGTGTTTAACGTGTTTAACGGTTCCATTCTGGGGTTGCTGAAAATGAAGCAGAGAAAATGAGGATGTACTGGGAAAATATGGATTTCAGCAGGAGATTGGCATCTTATGAAGGTTCTAGGCCATACACCCCTCTAGATTTAATGTGGAATTCAATGGATGCCATATCCAGCAGTAAAATCATTTTAGGAACCCCATATTTTGAGGAAACCTTGTTTATACGGACGTGCTGGCGATTTGTAATACAGGCTCAAGTTGGTTATTTAATCGTAGCCATGAATCCATGGTTTTTCGATTCAAGGAGCTGGGAATGTCTCCGTGTTGGGAGTGGCTAGTTCATGTTTTGTTCCCTGGTGACACGTATTGCCTGTTTCGGATAATAGATGATAATAGTACAAGTATATGCACAAGTTGTCATGTTCTAAACAAACCCATCTGTGAACTTTTCGATCTACCCTGTTGTTGGAGTTACGGATATTGTACAAAATGAGTCTCACAAACTGAACCCTGTTTATTTCAATCGCCTATAGCCAGCGATGTTTCCCAGTGAATTGGCTTCAATCCCATCATTTGAGACAAAAACATGTCCATACAATATATTATACATTTATATATAATTATATATAATATATAATATATATCATAATAAATATTATTATTATTATTATATATATATATATTATTATATATAATAATATATATATATTATTATATATAATAATATATATATATTATTATATATATAATAATATATATATAATAATATATATATAATAATATATAAAATAATTATATATTTATACTGTAATTATCGACTATTCATTGGTGAAAAAGCATTTTCGCTGTTTAATTTCTGCCTGATTCATACTGACATCAGTTTGGTTTTGTAGCCAGGCCACAGCTGTGCTGCGCGGAAAGCACAATAAAAATTGAGCTGCGCGGTGTGCTGAGACGGAGATCTATAGCTTTTAGAGCTGGGGATTTGGGGGTTGAATTCAAATGGGGGATGTCCAAAACGATCGGTTTCAATACCAAAGAATGGTCCAATTTGGTATAAAAATAGGGGTGCACTATTTTCGGCAGTTCACGTTTGCATCTGGTTTTTCAGGTTGTTATTGGTGATATAAGTGATACCCTCTGGTAATTTAACATAGCTATTGAAAATGGCCCATTTATAGTGAGTTTTCCCATTAAAAATGGTGATTTTCCATAGCTACGTTAGTTTACCAGAGGGTACCGCGTCCTGTCTCCGGATCCTGGAAGGTACTGGTAGGATTGATGGACAGTAACGATAGTGGAGGAATTATTCCACCCAGATGACCGGGATATTTTGCCGGCGACAGCCCCTCATTGTATGTTTGAACATGAAAGAAAGCACCCGATCTTGAGGAATCCTGTTTTTTTGAGAAAGAGGAGTTGCAAGTTGTAAGTTGTAAGTAGAGAATGTAGACAGTTCCAGGTGTTTTCGATGGCGTTAAAACATGCTTGAACTGGGGTGGCCTTCACTAGTCAAACTTATGCATTCATCAACCAGCAAACTCTTAGTAAGTATTATATCGAGCCACTTGGTGGGCCCAAACTGTTGCGTTTTCTTAAAAAAAGACAGTCACTGGCGCACTTACATTTGAGAAACTGGATGTCCATTCAAATCGCCAAGCACATCAAATTGGCCAGGGATGGTAGCATGTCACCGGCAAAAGAAGATAATAGGACCATCTTTATGGTTTCTATCTTGCACCATTGTAGAATGCACAGTACAGAGGGTAGCTTACGTCCAAACTGTTGACACCTTTCACGTTTGATGGGCACATTGAACATGTGATGTTTGGAACGCATATTCAGCACGTATCAAAGAAAGGTTAAATATTATAAACGCATCCGAAAATGGAACTGGACTCCACTCCTATCATCCTTTGGATGTGGCAATACATCTTGAATGCGGATACGGTTGACGGACAAGGACATGTGATAATTTCTTATTGTTCGTGGTAACCCCCCAAGAGATAAATTTGATAGAATTCCAACCTGATAGGCATCAATCCCAGCTGCTTAACATTCAATTTTACTGCTTGTTGTTGCTTAAATCACCATGTTTGTGAGTTTAAACCCCCATGTTCTAGAACTGGTTGAAGGGATCATTTTTAGGATGATATACAATATTATACCTTGATGGTACCATGGTTTCATGTAGATTTTCCATGTTTTTTCCCTTAAATCCACTAGCTACTGGGTGAACTCACCCCTTTCGCTACCTACCACGCCATGCTCCACACTTAACCATGCCATGACGCCTCGATCGCTGAGCTCCGTGCGCCACGCACGGCCAGCGCTGGCGGTGCTGGCAGCGCTGGCGTTGGCGGCGTTGCCAGCCTTTGCAGGCGAAACTGAAACCAAAGTTGTGATTGATCATCCATAGTATATAGTATATAGGTTTATGTATATATATATATATATACATGTATATATGTTATATATATACATATATATGTTATATATGTTTATATATGTATACACTGTAAAGTTTATAGATATACGGTCTGTGATATGTTGTAATGTATATATATATATGTATGTACAGTATCTACTATTGTCGGATGATCATATGATCATTAATCCCCTCCCACTACTAGGACTACCTTCCGGTAATCAAACATTGTAGCTGCAATTGGGAAATTCCCAAATAAATGAGGTGTTGGTAGTCGTGATCCCAAGTGAATGACAAGCTATTTGTATCTTTTGGACTATTGGGTCTATAACATCATGATAACCATAAGTGATATTATAATGTCCATGGACAAAAAAATCCTTGGACTATTGGGTCCATATCATTGGGTTCAAATAATATAATAAAACCATATCTGGTTGGTGGTTTCAAACATGTTTTTTTTCCATAATCTATGGGATAATCCTTCCCATTGACTAATATGTTTCAAGATTGTTAAAACCACCAACCAGATATGTTAACCAATGTGTATTCCCTGCTAATCCACAAGTGGTTCTCACGTGACAACCGATGAAAAACCATCGGAGAGGTTGTCCTATTGTGCTACTGGGATGATTGTTGCACTGGGATGGCAAGGGAGAATGTCAAGACAGTGATAAACATCCACAATGGTATGATAAACATTCATAAACTTTAATACTCATTAATAAACATTCATAAACATTCATAAACCATCCGCAAGTATCCACACAGCGCGGGATATGATGAAACCACCTTCCTGTCATTTTACACTGTTGACTTGAAAGTTCATTAAAATGTTGAATCCAATGTCAATAATTTGTGAAAGATCCATCTACTAGTTAGACCCTCAATTTGGACATACAACATGGTATGACCGTGTGGTGAGAGCTAGGAGTCAATCTCCTGGCAGATAGGGGCGAGCGATACTTCTAGCCACTCTTTTGGGTTGCTGAGCGTCAAGGTATGTCAAGGTACAGATTTAATGAAATGTGTAATCAATCAATTTTGATCTAATCATACTTCATTACACACCCAGTCATTGCGTTTTTCCTCCATGTAAGTACAAATGGATATTGATTGTCGAAGCTTGGGTTCCCATTAGTTTCCAATTCTCTGGGTAAACGTTCGCCAAACATTGGTTTGATCATGATCCTAGTTTGTGGCCACGAAGATATAGAAGCAATTGTTAGATACCCTGGCAGCAGGGTACCCTGCAAGCAGGGTATCTAAGATCAGATGTGTTTAGTAGCAGAAAGAGTAATTGGTATGAATGATCTAGCTCCATTTTCCATGTTGCAAGTGTTAAAGAAATTCAGTGAAACATGTTGAGGCCAAGTTCCATTTTTAATAACCACTACGTGACCACGTACACCAGGATATCTCTGCACCGATACCCCCTAAACACCATCAGGTGTTTGCTGACTATAACTCTATTTCAGTCAGTTGGGGTTGAATTCTCCTTCGGAGAATGCCATGTTTAAGTCTCTGTAAAACCATCATCAAGTACCGAAAAATAAAACATCCATTGTTTGGGTGGTTTTTAGCTACTTAGATGATGGATGGATCCAAAGTTGATGTTCATATCAAGTTATAACCGGTAAATTAACATAATTAGACCCTGAAAAATCAGCCATTTTTAGTGGTTTCACCCGTCTTCCAAGCCCTATCTGCCAGGGTTGAACTGTTAATCTACCGGAGGGTTGACAGCCAGCCATTGGATCACCAGGCCCCCTGGCCTCGAGGGCCTCAAGGCTGCCGGCCCCGCAGCTGGAGCAGACCTGGTGGCTGATTCGTAGCCCAGCTGGTATAGCCCATGAAAAGATCCATTACCCTCTGGTACTTTAACATAGCTATGGAAAATCACAATTTTTAATGGGAAAACTCACTATAAATTGCCATTTTCAATAGCTACGTTAAATTACCAGAGGGTATCCCCTAAAACTGTAGTAACTATATGACTATATGAGTTATATATAGTTATGATGGATGTCATAATGTGGATTTATTCTTATACCCCAGGAAAGCTACAGTTACAGTATATAGGGACTTAATGGGATTATAATGGGAATATAATGGGACTTAGTGGGATATATAACATGATATAACCAACAAGATGATAATCCATGGGTTTGTTCTGAAAATAGGGGATACCCCTATTTTCATGTCAATTTTAGAAGGGAAAATGGTCATGAAAATGATGAAAAAATCCGATGGAATTGGAGGTAGCCCTATTTGAAAAGACTATCATCCCATTAGTGGAGGTTTCCTAAGTCATGGGGTACCCCATTAGCTGGATGGTTGTGGAAAATCCGAAAAGAACATGGATGATTTGGGGGTCCCCCATTTGAAGAAACTCCCATAAAACCAGATAATCATCACAAATCCAGTCCTTCATGGAACTAAAACCAACTTAGCTAAGAGTCAAATCCATAAGAAGATCCCAATTATTGCAGGCTATAGAATATATATATATATTAGATCATCAGTGATGGGCCCGAACATAGCGATTCCGACCGTGGCCCTGGGGCGCCCCTGGCGAGACGTGGCCACTTTAATCAGATCAAGGTTTTAATTGGAAAACCAGTCTAAAATGTCTAAAAATCAGGGGTCAATGGAAATCCTTCCATGGACGATTACCCTCTGGTAATTTAACATAGCTATTGAAAATCACCTTTTTTAATGGGAAAATCCACTATTAATGGTCATTTTCAATAGCTACGTTAAATTACCAGAGGGTATCCCATGAAGACTTTCATTTAGATCGTCCAGGTGTTGATGTGGGCCGCACTCTTGGGAGCTTCATGCCCTTACGCTGGGCCACAGCCCCTGGGTTGCCCGTGGGGATGACTGCAGGATAACCTGACATTACAGGGACTGGTGTTATAGCAGACATGTATACTCTATAATACTCTATACAATAATGTGGTAAGAACATATATTCATTATTTGTTACACAAATGTGTGATTCGATGTGATGTAATTCCGACACCTCCAAACAGCTTCTGAGACCGTATTTGAGGTTGTTTTTTAAGGGTATAAACACTTCCGCTGCAACCCTGACGTTTGCCCGCCACAGAATCGTGGAAGGGTTGCGTATTTTTGAAAATCTATGTTGATGGACTTTCGATATATATATATATATACATACATACTTGATCAATATTGAAGTAATGAAGCTTATATCTGTATGTATGTATTTGTACATATATATACATATGTAGATTTCATAAGAACACATAGACGTATATATATATATATACATAATTATAATATATGTATGTATGTATGTATACACACGTATCTCTCTTTGTACATGTCCAAGCTCGAATGTTGAAGATGTGTGAAAACTATGCAGGTAGATTTCGTCCGAGATGGACATCCATCCCTTGATGTTATTTCCCCATGCACCTGCAACATATTGTTCAGAGCGGGTGGAATGTTTTAACTCCTAATGAAGATAAGTTGATGCTATTACCCCGATCAACTCCTTGTTCAGAGCGGGTGGCGGATTTTGATCCCTAAGAAAAGTTGATGTTATTACCCCAGTTTACATATTGTTCAGTGAGGGTGGCGGATATTTATCCCTTATGAGATAAGTTGATTTTAATTCCCCATTCAACATATTGCTCATGTATGCCAAAGCACAACAAAGCGATGTTCTTCTTGGTGGGCGAACGTCCGGGTTGGACGGAAGACCTTTTCAGAGGGATTTAAATCACTACCAAAAACACGAACAATAAGAACTATCGTTATGTGATCTAATGACAAGTTGTACATGTTATATATTGAAATGGTGTTTTAAGTTATGTAAACAGTGATATATATATATATATTATAACTATTATATACATATAATATACAATACAGATTATATATTATATAATATAGTATGTATTATTTATGTAATATATATATATTATATTATATTTGATATATAATAAATTATATGTATTTTATATATTATATATTTTATATATTGTATAATATATATAACTATTGTATATATATACATTATATATATGATAATATATATAATATAGTAATAATATATCTAATATAGTAATAATATAAACTAATATATATATATATATATTCTAAGCATACGCAAAGCAAATCCACATGTTTAACTCTTCTTGGTGCTTGCAGCATAGCTGTAGATCCCAGTTTGGAAAGTAGGACTGCTCAGAAGAAGAAACACAGGATGACTCCGCACTTGCTTTGGTAGAAATGTTGGACGATTCAGTTTGCCCCAACACCCACGTTTTATTGAAGAGAAACCCGTTTTGTTAATTGCAGATGGATGTATAAAATACGGCACAATGCGGTTCAATACTGTATAGAGTCTATACACGGTATAGAGTCTATACACGATCTATGTTTCAGTTTCAGATCTTCAAACTTTCCAGTAACACAGATGAACACCAGATTAACATACCCTCTGGTTATTTAACATAGCCATGGAAAATGACCCTTTTCCCATTAAAACCTCCATTTATAAGGGATTTTCCATGGCTATGTTAAATAACCAGATGGTACGTGTTTCAAGGGTTCCCTTGACTTAGAACATATTGTTTTTTGTCCCAACGAAGCCGTCTCTTAGGATGGCAGCCGTTTGCTGCTGCCCATGATCGTGCAGTTCCAACCAGGCCATCATATTCTCCATTTAAACATGAGAACCAGTGCCAATCCGGAAGGATTCCCCCATGTTCAGACATGGGCTCCCACAAATATGTATATACATATATTATGGATACATAGTTATCCATATATATATATATAGTTATCCGTTATATTATATATATACATGCATATATGCATATTTGAATACACAATATATTGCTTATTACAGCATATAAATACACAAGACATACATCTAGATTTACATTTATATACGTATAAACATGTATTTGCATAAATAAATACTGGTACATATATATATATATACACATACATATATATATATATACGCATATGTACATGTATATTTCTACATACACATATATGTTACATATGACTATGAATGCATACACATACATACATATATATATATACACATTAGTCAAAGGAAGTTTAGGGGGAGAAACTTCCGTGTTACGGACTTTTAGAATGTCAGGGAAAGAGTTAGTCAAAGAAAGAGTTAGTGAGGGAAAGAGTTAGTCAAACAAAGAGGTAGTCAAAGAAACAGTTAGTCAGGGAAAGAGTTAGTCAAAGAAAGAGTTAGTGAGGGAAAGAGTTAGCAAAGAAACAGTTAGTCAAAGAAACAGTTAGTCAGGGAAAGAGTTAGTTAAAGAAAGAGTTAGTCAAAGAAAGAATTAGTCAAAGAAACAGTTAGTCAGGGAAAGAGTTAGTCAAAGAAAGAGTTAGTGAGGGAAAGAGTTAGTCAAAGAAAGAGTTAGTCAAACAAAGAGTTAGTCAAAGAAACAGTTAGTCAGGGAAAGAGTTAGTCAAAGAAAGAGTTAGTGAGGGAAAGAGTTAGCAAAGAAACAGTTAGTCAAAGAAAGAGTTATCAAAGAAACAGTTAGTCAGGGAAAGAGTTAGTCAAAGAAAGAGTTAGTCAAAGAAAGAGTTAGTCAGGGGAAGAATTAGTCAAAGAAAGAGTTAGTCAAACAAAGAGTTAGTCAAAGAAACAGTTAGTCAGGGAAAGAGTTAGTCAAAGAAAGAGTTAGTGAGGGAAAGAGTTAGTGAGGGAAAGAGTTAGTCAAAGAAAGAGTTAGTGAGGGAAAGAGTTAGTCAAAGAAAGAGGTAGCAAAGAAACAGATAGTCAGGGAAAGAGTTAGCAAAGAAACAGTTAGTCAGGGAAAGAGTTAGTCAAAGAAACAGTTAGTCAGGGAAAGAGTTAGTCAAAGAAAGAGTTAAAACTCTAGGATCGTTCCCTCACTGTAAATGGCATTGCAAGAGGTGCAAGTGGAGGAGTTGCCGATGGAGTTTTGGAGGAAGTCTCGCACGAAATGCGTTTTTGAGAGATAGCAGATGCACGAAACCCTATGTTTTTCCATACAAAGTCCGTCCCCGAACCTCAATGATCTACCTCTGCGGTGCGACGGGTGCAGAGAACGGTAGCCGTTGGGTGGCGGATCATTGCTCGGATCATTCTGGATCGGTTCCGCATTGTAAATGGGGTTGCAATTTTTTTCGTGCATGTAATTTTTCCCTGCCACCCATTAGGTGGTCGACAGAATGCCATCCGTGATTATGCCAACTGTTAGGATGTTCCCGCATTTGTTAAATGGGGGGTGGTTGTAAGTGGTGCTGGTGGATGAGTTGCCGATGGAATTCAATTGTGATTTGCAACTCTAGGATCGTTCCCTCACTGTAAATGGCATTGCAAGTGGTGCTGGTGGAGGAGTTGCCGATGGAGTTTTGGAGGAAGTCTCGCACGAAATGCGTTTTTGAGAGATAGCAGATGGACGAAACCCTATGTTTTTCCATACAAAGTCCGTCCCCGAACCTCGATGATCTACCTCTGCGGTGCGACGGTTGCGAGACGGTCTCGTGTGTGGTCGGATCATGGGCGGATCATGCTCGGATCATGCTCGCGATCATTCTCGGATCGGTTTTTTTTTTTTTCTTTTTTTTTTTTTTCCGCATTGTAAATGGCGGTTTCAACTGTTTTTCGTTGCATTGTTGGTCGACGAATGCCATTCGTGATTTGCAACTGTAGGATGTTCCAGCATTGTAAATGGGGTTGCAAGTGGTGCTGGTGGATGAGTTTGCCGATGGAAATTCCATTGTGATTTGCAACTCTAGGATCGTTCCCTCACTGTAAATGGCATTGCAAGTGTGGTGCTGGTGGTGGAGGAGTTGCCGATGGAGTTTTGGAGGAAGTCTCGCACGAAATGCGTTTTGTGAGAGATAGCAGATGCACGAAAGCCTATGTTTTTCCATACAATGTGCGTCCCCGAACGTCGATGATCTACCTCTGCTGTGCGACGGGTGCGAGACGGTCTCGTGTGTGGTCGGATCATCCTCGGATCATGCACGGATCGGTTCCGCATTGTAAATGGCGTGTCAACTGTTTTTCGTGCATGTGTGGTCGACAGAATTCCATTGTGATTTGCAACTGTAGGATCGTTCCCGCATTGTAAATGGGGTTGCAAGTGGTGCTGGTGGATGAGTTGCCGATGGAATTCCATTGTGATTTGCAACTCTAGGATCGTTCCATCACTGTAAATGGGATTGCAAGTGGTGCTGGTGGAGGAGTTGCCGATGGAGTTTTGGAGGAAGTCTCGCACGAAATGCGTTTTTGAGAGATAGCAGATGCACGAAAACCTATGTTTTTCCATACAAAGTCCGTCCCCGAACCTCGATGATCTACCTCTGCGGTGCGACGGGTGCGAGACGGTCTCGTGTGTGGTCGGATCATGCTCGGATCATGGTCGGATCGGTCTCGGATCGGTTCAGCATTGTAAATATGGGGTGTCACCTGTGTTTCGTGCATTTGCGGTCGACAGAATTCCATTGTGATTTGCAACTGTTGGATCGTTCCCGCAATGTAAATGGGATTGCAAGTGGTGCTGGTGGATGAGTTGCCGATGGAATTCCATTGTGATTTGCAACTCTAGGATCATTCCCGCATTGGTTGTTTTAAAGTGATATATTGCAAGGTTGCTTACCGCTTTAGCTGGCAAAAACGTAATTTACTATTGGGGTGTGGGGGGGTCTTTTGCAGCTCGACTTCGTAAATCGTATTGGAGTGGCTGCATGAAGGCTGCCACAGTGATTTGTCAGCAGATTTTCTCCATTTTGGCGCTAGTGATTTTCCTTCTAAAAATCCTTTAAAAAAGTGCTTCAAAATCGTCTTTTTTTCGCTCTGGCGTCGAGATCCGGTTTTGGAGCTACAATTTCTGACGCCGTTGCGCGTAGTTCTATTGTGTTTTGCAACTCAGTCTCTGCAGATCGCATTGTAATGGCTGCTTCAAGGTTGCTTCGTGCTGTGGCTGCATTTGTCATACTATTGTCTTTTGCAGCTCGACTTCGTAAATCGTATTGGAGTGGCTGCATGAAGGCTGCGACAGTGATTTGTCAGCAGATTTTCTCCATTTTGGCGCTAGCGATTTTCCTTCTAAAAATTCTTTTAAAAAGTGCTTCAAAATCGTCTTTTTTTCGCTCTGGCGTCGAGATCCGGTTTTGGAGCTACAATTTCCAACGCCGTTGCGCGTAGTTCTATTGTGTTTTGCAACTCAGTCTCTGCAGATCGCATTGTAATGGCTGCGTCAAGGTTGCTTCGTGCTGTGGCTGCATTTGTAATACTATTGTCTTTTGCAGCTGGACTTCGTAAATCGTATTGGAGTGGCTGCATGAAGGCTGCGACAGTGATTTGTCAGCAGATTTTCTCCATTTTGGCGCTAGTGATTTTCCTTCTAAAAATCCTTTTAAAAAGTGCTTCAAAATCGTCTTTTTTTCGCTCTGGCGTCGAGATCCGGTTTTGGAGCTACAATTTCCGACGCCGTTGCGCGTAGTTCTATTGTGTTTTGCAACTCAGTCTCTGCAGATCGCATTGTAATGGCTGCGTCAAGGTTGCTTCGTGCTGTGGCTGCATTTGTCATACTATTGTCTTTTGCAGCTCGATCTCGTAAATCGTATTGGAGTGGCTGCATGAAGGCTGCGACATGGATTTGTTAGCAGATTTTCTCCATTGTGACCTTAGATACTATGACAAAGACTACTTTGACAATGACCGTTGTGGCTGTAACTGTAGTGACAATGAGTATTGTAACTGTTTGGACTGGCCCCTTTTTAGGTAATGACAGTGGGAAGTAGAAGTGACGGCATTAGTGTCCCTGGTTGTGGCTTCAGTAGTAATGTTAGACGTCAGTCGGTTATGGCTCACAGAAACAGACATGATGTTTGTTGCCTACGCATGTGTTATGGGTAACAGAAACAGACATGATGTGTTTTTGGTACATATGCATTCGAGAAATGCCATTGCTAACACATGTTTCTGCTTCAAGTAATTGAGAAAGAATTGTTTTGGACATGTGAGCAACTTGTGGTTCCACTGTTCGTTCGGTGTTTTGGCCCGCGGACATGATTATTGTCTTAGATCATAAGGATGTGAATCTCACCATTATTCTTGTTTTAGAGCAGCAACTCGTAGTCTTCTCACAGGCCTTGCATGCGGGTATGCAGTTAGGTGCTGCCTGTGTGACACATGTTGTCTGTGAGGACAGGGTCGCACATGCCACTCTTGCAGAAGCCCAACGTGGTTTAAGTGATTAATTACCATTGTCCGATCCCTGTAGTTCACCACTACAACCACGTGGCCTCTCACAAGACACGCACGCGGGTATGCAGTTATGTGCTGCCTGTGTCGCACATGTTATCTTTGAGGATGGGACGCAGACGCCACGGTTGCACAAGCCAAGCGTAGTTTAAGTAATAAATTCCCATAGTCCGATCCCTGTAATTCACCACTATAACCACTTGACTTTGCACAGGCATTGGATGGCCATGTGTTGTGCATGACGTGCTGGTCGCTGATGGGTCAAGGACACCATCAGCGATTGGGATCGACTCTCGCTTGACTGCCAAGGGCTGGGTGTGCGTTGTTATGAACCGCATCCGAGTTTGAATTGCTGTCCTTCAGTAGATTCGCCTTTCATTTAGCCTTGCGAACCGCAGAATGCCTCTGTCACTTGCTTTTGGTTTATGTGTGCGTTGTTACGAACCGCACAAACAACCATGATCGTATTGCATACATGTGAAAAAACAAAGCTGTCATGGGAGCGAGTCAATGCAAGCTCTCACTGAGATCCTCTCAATGCCTTGTGCAGCATGGGTTGGAGTTTTGTGGTTTGTTGAATGTATGACTTTCTGGGCCATTTTTTTTTCAGACATCAGACCCAAAGCCCTATGATTTTCTCCATTTTGGCGCTAGTTTTTTTTGTTGCACGTAAGTTTAGAGCAGTTGGACGTGTGGGGCGTGAAGTGTGGAGTGTGAAGTTTAAGTGTGGAGTGCGAAGAGCGCAGTGTGAAGTGTGAAGTGTGAGGTTTGGAGTGTGAAGGAAGCAGTGAGAAGTGTGAAGTGTGGACTGTGAAGTGTGAAGTGTGAGTGAAGTGTGGAGTGTGAAGTGCGAAGTGAGAAGTGTGAAGTGTGAAGTTTGGAGTGCGAAGTTTGGAGTGGAAAGGAAGCAGTGAGAAGTGAGAAGTGTGAAGTGTGGACTGTGAAGTGTGGAGTGTGAAGTGCGAAGTGAGAAGTGTGAAGTTAGGAGTGTGAAGGAAGCAGTGAGGAGTGTGAAGTGCGAAGTGAGAAGTGTGAAGTGTGAAGTTTGGAGTGTGAAGTGTGGAGTGTGAAGTGCGAAGTGAGAAGTGTGAAGTGTGAAGTTTGGAGTGTGAAGGAAGCAGTGAGAAGTGAGAAGTGTGAAAAGTGTGAAGTGTGAAGTGTGAAGTGCGAAGTGAGAAGTGTGGACTGTGAAGTGTGAAGTGTGAAGTGTGGACTGTGAAGTGTGAAGTGTGAAGTGTGGACTGTGAAGTGTGAAGTGTGCAGTGTGAAGTGTGAAGTGTGAAGTGTGAAGGAAGCAGTGAGAAGTGTGGAGTGTGAAGTGTGGAGTGTGAAGTTTGAAGTTTGAAGTGCGAAGAGTGCAGTGTGCAGTGTGAGGTGTGGAGTGTCGAGGGAAGGACACGGTCGGGACAGGTTGTCTTTGAACTATAGGTCATTTATGTTTGGGAAACTTCCGCCGCCGGCTTGCCCGGGTCTATGTAATAGCTGTATTCATGTGATATCCCACTAAAGAACCTCTTTTGAATTATCCAAGGTTGACGTTGTTTGGAGTGAAATCATCCCCACTTGTCGAGTTTGGCGTTTCTGGGTTAGTTTGCTGGGTAGGACCTGGTGTACTGTGTACTTTCTAGCCAACACTTAGGGCATATATTCCACTTGCAAGGGGGTGATAGTTTGGTTGCATCCCAGATAGCGAATATTAACGGGAACTTCCCAAGTAGTACGTGTACATTTTGGACCACGTACCAGTTCAGACCGGTCGTGAATGAAAGAACATGATCCCAACATGACCTCATAATCCTTGTATCAAGTTCTTCAGTTGTTGTTATGGTACTATATTTTGGGTTGTGATTTTGTCCTATTACGTCCTCGGACGTGTGCTTTTGAAGTGCAGCCGTTGACATCAGTTGCCTCTTCCCATGTCTCCAACACCATCGCCATCGTTATCACAATCCTCCTCTTACTCATCATCACCATCACCCTCACCATCACAATCACTCTCGTCGTCGTTGTCGTCATCGTCGTCGTGGTGGTTGTTGTTGTTGTTGTCGATATCATTATCATAAACATACTTGGTGCCAAATAGTCAACATCATTGATTCATCACGGAACCCTTACTGAATCCGCCCCAATTTGTGCTATGCGACGACAGGAGGAAAGCTCAAGGTTCACCGTGTGGGAGATTTCCTTGGAGCGGCTGGGACCCAATTGCCGGACACCAATGGCACACTTTTAAGATATCCCAGCAATGGTTGGAACCTAGTGCTACCAGTAATTGGCACCTTTGATACCCAATGGATCCCAATGGTTCCTATATTTTCTTGGGTTTCATACCGAAGGATGGATCCTTGGAGGATAAGATCCATGGTAGGAACAGCAGAAAACCCGAAAATTATTCAACCAGTCTATTGTGGTACCCAACACTTTTCTTCTGACCCATACCACAAATTGAGGTGTGATATGGTGTGATCCGAATTGTTACTCATATATTTATAGAATATATCCATGTCACAAAAAATCAAGAGTGTTGCGCACCGTTTGGCACCGTTTAACCACGCTTTTTTACGAAAAAAAGAGCACCCGACGTTCAGCGAACCAATCGACCCGGCCTGAGGATTGGGATTTCCCTCCCTCCAGCGCCATGGGCCCTATGCCCTGGGATGCTGCGGAGGCGGCGTAGGGAAACCCTGAGAAAGGCGGATGATTTCATCATTATTTTTAGGGTTATTATATGTCAATTAGGGTTTGAACTGTTGAGAAACTATGGGAATATATGGGAACATCATATGATATGACCGTGTTTTTTGCCGGATAAATCTTGAGATCATGGTTGGTGATGTTTTTTTTTTGGGGGGGGGTTATCATAGTCCATGATGGAATCCTCCATTGAGGTGAGGTTCCCACTGGAAATCAAAGTTTGGCTATTGCATTTTGCCAGGAGCAGCGGCCTGAAGTCACCTCGGGGGAGTGGAAGATGACGAAAGCTGAAGGTGCGATCCAATCGCTGGTGGTTAACATGCTTTTTCATAGGGATACTAATGGGATACTCATGAGATGATAAGAATGGGATGTGAGAATATTAGCCTCTGGTAATTTAACATAGCTATTGAAAATGACCATTTATAGTGCATTTTCCCATGAAAAATGGTGATTTTCCATAGGTATGTTAGTTTACCAGAGGGTAGCCATCCAATCCCGGTGTCATCATTGCCATGGCTGGGAAATCCCGGAGCTGTTACTGCAGGATTGTTCGATGTTTGGAGGATTTTCCAGCAAACCATGGAGCTGATTCCCGGTGGGTACAACAGGTGAAACCAACCATGGAAGTGTGGTCTTAGCTTTGTCTACAGTATGGGGAATATCTAAACCGTTGAGCAGAAAAAGGCTGGAATTCATAGCAGTGAGAAATGATGTTTCTGACTGCGAGTCTATTGATCTGCTGATTTCATGGGCAATCACCATCATATGCAATACCTTTCTAGAAGCTTTGGTTTAGTGTTGGATTTATCCATTTTGGGTGCTCATGTGGTATTTAATATACGTTCATCTCATGGGGGTAGGATTGTTATGGACTAATCCATAGGGAATCCCGGCCTCAACAGCCAGGAGTTTGGGGCGCAGGTTTCAGGTCTTTGAAGTCTGGTTCGCAATGAGCGTATTAGGCGTCCAATGACTTTTATGGGGGTTTCCGTAAATGGTGGTACCCTAAAATGGATGGTTTAGAAGGGAAAATACCATTAAAACGGATGATTTAGGGGTACCCCCATTTCAGGACACCTCTTATCAATATGACCAGATTTAGGATGTTGAACAATTGTCAAATCCGTCGTTCTTTTCAGTCATGCCCATGCCGCTTCTTTGTTTTTCTGGGGCAACATATCCCAGAGGGCAGTGGCTTCCTCACCAGATGGCCATACGGTGGCGGCAACTAACATGGCTTTGGGTCAAGACTGGGTACTCCAAAATGGGATGATTTATGATCCGTTATGATCCTCAAAAAGAACCAACATGTGCGGTCCCTTCTTACATTCTGACCAATACTCATCTATGAATGCCAAGTCTGATCAATAGGGCCCAACGAATTGACACCTTTGTGCCGGTCCAGTGTGAAGCTCTCTTATGATAAATACACACCGCATTGATTTGCTTGAGTATTTGATCTATCTAGTATAAATGATCATATGATAAGATGTGATAGGCACATTTTGCTGAAGGGGTGTGTAATCTGTGTTGCTAGATCGATCTCTCTCTCTCTCTCTTGTTTTTGGTTAATCCCCTCCTTTCACACTCCTTTACCACATTTGATAAACCATATTTCTGGTATGTACTTGGATGCACATCGGACATATATAACACATATGACACTTTCAACATCTTTCAAAAATACATGAACATAATGTGTATATATATATATACATATGTATGCATAGTGAAGTATAATGTGATCAATCTAATACATATACATGTGTATAAACCATCATCCCCAAATCACAATTTTTATGGGTGGTAGCGATCATCCCAAATGGTAGATTTATGGCATTGGGGCATTGGGTTTCCCACGATGTCCCTGCAGGCGGACGGGTGGTGCAATTCCACGTGCTGAGCAACGGACGCTCGAAATGGTGATGACTAGGTGCTGATGACTACCCTTCCCCCGGTGTGGATATTCAATGATAGATGGGGAATTCCATAAATGGATGGTTTATTTCATGTTTCTTTTCAATGGATGATGACTGGGGTAGCCCTATTTTAGGAAACCTCCAGATGGGTAGTACATGTTCATAATGGTGAAACAGTACTATAGTGAATAATGTTTCAAACCAAAGACAAACTGTTTTTGGGTACCTCATTTTCAGACAAAGCCAGTGTGAATATTGGCATATATGTATAATGCTGATATTTCTTGAGTAGATCGTGTGGCTATAAACGATTTGAGTTATATATGTAGGTAGGCGCTGATGGTTTTTGGGGTAGATGTTGGCTTTATAGTTGAAGATACAGATACGCGTACAGATACCAGACATGGATGATCTGGAGTCAACAACTGTTTTGCACCACATCGGTAAGTTGCATACGTCATGAGTCTTTATGTGTGGATTTGCGACTTTGGCTGTGACATCCGCAAGGAATGGATATATAAACACATAAGGTTTGAGTTCGATATGGTTCGAACATGTTGGCTTTCTTGCGTCTTCATCCACACTTCATTCCCCCTTTTCACCTTCAAATAGACACGTATTTCTCGGTTCGTGGCGCACCCATACTTCGTTTGGGGATAATTACTAGGACCCAAATTGCAAAAAAAACAAATCTCAAATATCTGTATACAAAGCCTTTGGGATTCAAACAAAGCACTTTTGTACAACCTGACAATACCACCACCAAGAATCGCCGTCAAAAGTTAACACCAAAAGTGGTTGATTGTCCCACTACTTTTGTTTGCTCCCAGAATTGATTATTGTAAAAAGATTACAAGAAACCCTTCCAAATTTGGAGGTAACAACATTTAACAACCACGGTTTCCAATTACTTCCGCAGACCCTTACAATGTGGTGCCTCCCCCCAGGTATTCAAGTTGGTTTTTAACCCCATAAACAGAAGAAAGATTACGAATAATATGCCTCCTCACGTAGTGCAGTGTAGTGCAATGTAGTATCACCAACAAATGCTTCCATAGCAATCAATGTAGACTGGAATTCATAACCAATGCATGCGGTCATGTTAAAGTACACTAGACCCAGGAATCCAGTTTGCTCGAACTGACATTAATACATGTCCACTTGTTTTAACTAATTCAGTCATATGCCAAACATCCAGTGGTCCAGGTCTACAAATGTATACCATGGCCAACTGTTTGGCTCAAGATCGCATTGCCCGAGGTAAAAGGGTTTACGTGGTTGAGCCAACTGATTCTTTGAGAATCTTTTGGTTATCAGCCGTAGGGCTGCAGCAATAGCTACATCTAGTGGTATCATCGACCAGGAGTACCTTGACGAAACTTTAGAGCCAGATCGTAGACAGCAGATTCCGGACGCGCTTTGGCGTGCTATCAGAGCCCCAAGAGGTGGTCGCAGGGGTCTTTCTACAAAGGTTCGACACATCAGAGAAGGTATCGATCAAGGATTCTATAAAGGGAACTATCCATTTGTAACTCGGGAAGGATTTGAATACGCAAGGCAGTGGAGATTTCAGGTCTGCGACTCGGTGTTGCAAGGGGCAACTGTTTGGGAGATTGAGACATCTTCGTCAGAAGAAGAGGTTCAGATCGTGGAAAGGCCTGCCGCAAAAGCTAGGCCTACTCCGAGAGCATCAGAACCGGTTCCGGTCTTGGGAAAACCAGCCGCAAAGGCTCGGCCTACCTCAAAAGTACCAGAACCGTCCGATCACCCGGCAGGCTCCACTTGGGGAACATCATCGGCATCGTCATCTTCTGTTGTGCCACCGGCAAGACCAAGTGGAACACATCAGTTGAGAGCTCGTGCAAAGCCATCAGCGAAGGCAATCGAGAGAATCTTGAAGCCTAGACCTTATCTTCCGGACACGGTGGTTTGGTTTGATCGCGACAACAAGGCTGAGGACGTGGGCTCAGGCCAGGATCCTGTGGGAGTGAACTTCAAGGAGGTTTCAAACTACAGTTCATATCGTGGCTACAAGACATACATCAAAGCGGACTCTCCGGAATATCCAAAGTTCATTCTTTTTCTTGACTGGCACCAGGTGTTGGATCGATCGAGAACTGAGGGGACTTGGAACGACAAATTCCCAGAAGACTCCATCACTTTTTTGAACCGTCTCAAAGGGGCGGCAGAAGAGACGTGGGGCCACAGAGACGCTTTGTCAATCGTGATTGTTTCTCATATAGAACATTCAAGCAAAAATCTGGACAATCTACTTCGAATTTGCAATCAATACAGACAGATTGCGGACGAAGGCCTCATCACATCGATTTTTATCACCCGAGAGCGCTGTGGGGTGGTTGGGAAGGCAGCTACAATAAAGAGCTATACCCTCGACTATCAGATCCCTTGCGCATTGGTAGACGATAATCACGAAGTGATCAGTGAGAACTCAGCAGAAGTCCATACGTGCCACATACAAATCAGACGCAAGCCAAAGTGCCCAGCAGCTGAGACCGTGCAACACTATTTGCTGGATTGTGCGGCTCCTCTGGAACGATTGCTCTGGCGTTACAGGCACCGGTGAGTGAAAAGGGGGTGAGAAGCGTTTGCGCTCCATTCCAGGGGTCTAAGATTCTTGGTGGTAAGGGCGTGAAAGCAGTTAGCATTCCAATCCTAGGTCAAAGCTTTTGGTGGGAAGGGCATTCAGGCAACCGGCATTCCATTTTTTGGGTTAACGGCTCTTAGTGGTAAAAGTGTTGCAATTGTCTTTGTGTTCCTTGCTAGGGTGATTCTAGGTAGGGAGTGTTGACAAACCTGTGCAACATTCCAGGGGTTAAAAGTCTTTGGAGGGAAGTGCACAAACCTGTGCAACATTCCCTTTGAGAAGTGCACAAACCTGTGCAACATTCCAGGGGTTAAAAGTCTTTGGAGGGAAGTGCACAAACCTGTGCAACATTCCAGGGGTTAAAAAGTCTTTGGAGGGAAGTGCACAAACCTGTGCAACATTTCAGGGATTAAAAAGCCTTTGGAGGGAAGTGCATAAACCTGTGCAACATTCCGGGGATTAACTTTGGAGGGAAGTGCATAAACCTGTGCAACATTCCGGGGATTAACGGTCTTTGGAGGGAAGTGCATAAACCTGTGCAACATTCCGGGGATTAACGGTCTTTGGAGGGAAGTGCATAAGTTCTCAAACCAACCCAAAATCACAATGCAGAGCTCACAAGAGGGAAGTTCAGAACGTTCTAGATCTCAAAGGGGTTTAGAAGTGGGTGCGGCACAAACAGTTGCCAATCCTGTCACACCATCCCAATCGATGACAACCTCTAGTTCAACATCGCAGTCAACTCCGGAGCCAAGGGGGAGTAGGGATCAAAGGATAGCCATTCCAGAAAATCGGATTGCTGTTCATACCATGGGGGAAGCTGGGGGAACCCTAGACATCCAGGGTAATCCTTATAAAAGCCCAGAAACTTTGTCTCAGTTTTTGGGATCTCCTCAATCTTCACCGTTGATTGCACCAAATATGAACGCTGTTCAGCTAGAAGCACAAGATCATGTTCATTCGAATCCGTTTCATGGCCAGTATGAATCCACCAGGTCGGGTCAGCAGGGAGCCGCATCCAGCCAGGGTCAATCCCAGAGTCCCACATTCATCAAAAATGAATTGAATGTTTCGATGGATCCTTTTGTAGTTGCACAAGCCGCACATGCTGTGGAGGAAGCTAGGAGTAGTTTAAAATCCCAAGCCATCCAAGCTGTGGAAGAGTCCCAAAGATTTTTTCAGGTACAAGCAACTCAGATGGTTGAAGATATCCAGACTTCCACTAGAACAGAAGCTATGCAGTACTTGGAACATTTTCAGTCTCAGGCCAAAAGGGCAATATCGGAATCCCAAGCTCAGTCCATTCAACTTCAGAAAGAATTGGAGGATACCAGGGCGGGTACAACCCAGATTGTCCAAGATGCTTCAAAAGAGATTGAGAGTGCTAAGTCCCAAGCTAGAGCCGAGGTCCAAAGGATTAAACTCGAAGCTCAGTCTGTGGTGTCAAGTTTGGAGGGTAAAATCACTGAACTGGTCCGTATCAATGGGGAATTGTCCATGAAATCGGTTGAACAAATAAAAATGATTAACGCTTTAACTCAAAGGGTTGATGAGCAGCAGTCGTTGTTAAGCAAATTGCAAAGTAACTTGGCTATGAGCCCAACATCTAGAGCCGCTGATGGTACGGATGTTCAAATGCCATTGCAATTACCAGTCGCTTCAGGAATCGGACAGTCAAGACTAAGTCGGGACTCCGAGTTGCATTTACGCACCGGAGGACAGACGGGTCACAGTTCTGGTTCAGGGAGTGTTGCAAGCCCGGTGCAAGACCCACAAGTTCAGTTGTTTGCCATGCCTTCGCAACATGGGGATAGTCCTAAGGATACCCAGCGCAAGGAGTTGTTTGCAAAAGTTGAGTCATTGGCATCAGTTGTTCATGGTTTTGCATCCAATCAAGGGGGCGGTAGAAAGTCAAAAGGGAATGGCTCCAATAAAGGGTCACCCAATCCTCCAAAGGAGTATGACATAGCCACCCCTCCAAAATCACCACCTGGTTCGTCGTCGTCGTCTAGCAGTAAGGGAAGCAGGGGCGGTGGAAGTGGTTCTCCCACACCGCCAAGGGGGTCAAATGCTTCTGGAGTATCATCCTCAAGCAATCGGAGTCGTGTTGTAAATCCATACAAGTATGAAAAGAAAATCATGCGGACCAAACAGTACGATCATCTGAAGATCCCTAACCTCCCCAAATCGGCATCAGATGCGAGGGCATTTAGAAACTCGGCGTTTAACCTAATCTGTAAACTGGCTAAAGGGGATGAAGAACCTGTTTTTAAATGGATCGAAAAGTGCATTGAACCAAAAGCGTTTGAATCCCTAAATGATTCATTGCCGTTTCCGCTGTTGGACCGTGTCTTGGGTAGCAAGTTGCTGGAGCTAAGTAAGAAT